GGGGGGGGGGGGGGGGGGTACAGAAAAGCAGGATCGGTACCATGGCTAGAGTACCGAAACACTTTCGTCGTATTGTTGTGTATGCGACTTTTGATTCTTTAGCGAACAACTTCGGGATTTCGAAAGAAAGATTGTGATTGAGCGCGCGAGAAGACCTGACACCCCTCCCCCTCTCCCCCTCTACCTACATGTTTTGCGGGGCACGTGAAAAGAATCCCACAGACCACACGCTATTTCAACGCCTCGGCCTGCCTGCCCTCCCCCTTTGTTGGTGACAACAAGGCCTCACTTAAGAAAGCATCTCCATACCGCGCTACGTGACCACTGCTAACGAAAACCACACACGACCAGGTTCGAAAACACGAGGCCGATAGAGGACCCATCTTACGTTTTTGACCCACGGCCGATCCACGTTTTTGTCTTCCGCTCGCCCGCCCTCCCCGTTGCTGGCCGACAACAGGCCGCCGCCTTGCTGCCCTGCAGTACCCAGAACGTCGGCTTCGGGGTCAGCATCACTGTCTTCCGGCGCAGGCCCTTCCGCCGCCGCCGCCGCCGCCTCCGAGGGATCAGAGGGATCGCCGACGTTCGCTTTCGGTGCGTCGGGGCCTTCTCTCGCTGCTCCTGAAGTTGCCGCGCTCGCGACCGCGGCGTTGGGCCTTTGGAGTATTGGTGTGGTTGTTTTGGTAGTTCGAGGGCGCAAGCATGAAGGGGGGATGAATGAAGTCCATGAGGCAAAGTGAGCAGACGCCAACGTTAAGCGGGACATCACAGCAGTAGAGAGGTACGCCGTTGCAGAGGGGCAGAGCTAAAAAGTTACGGACTAGTACTGCGTTTTCGCCTGGTTGTCCTTTCTTGGCGCCAAACAAACGAGAGCAAGAGGTCCTTTCGCGGCAAGGTGCGCGCGTTTCATCCTAGCTAATCCTATTAGATTACTGCTATCGCTTGAGTCGTTTCGTCCGTTTCAGTGGAGGTGCACAACTTGCAGTATCCTCGATCAAAACCCACGACACTGCGAAGAGCTCCTCACCTGCTAGCTTCCTTGGCGGCTAGGTCATCCCTCTCGTGCCGCCATTGCATGACACACCGGTCCTCCATCCCGATGGAAATTAGGTGACTCTGCCCCATGCTCCAGCGCAGGCGCGTGATTCCCGCCGAATGTGCCCTACGCACAAGAATGATCCAAGAAAGGCGGTATCATGGACACATGCGCCCGTTTTCTAAAGGTGACATCTGCCTCGGAGTACCGATTGGATTTGGTGAGGCTTGAACGGAGAGGTGTCAAGTACAGTGAATCCACCAGCTGCTGGGAGTACGAATGCATACGACGTCAGTATCCAATGAACCTGCCCCCCTGCTGTCGCCGTGGCATCGGGTTCTTCCGCGTTTTCTTCAGCATTCGTCACACACCTGTATGACTTGGAGTCAGCGTAGGGTGAGGTGCATGGCTGGCGGAGGAGGCGGATCCGCCCGAGGTTGTCGCCAGCAGCTACGGCCTTGCTCAGGTGTTCGGAATGGAGTGTCGCATCGATGCTCATGACCTGAACGCGGGTAGAGTTCATCAGGTGTCGTGACCAATAACCTGTTGTAGCATCCTCAATATGAGCATGATACGCATATGTAGTATGCCAACAACCTCGGCTTGATGCGTTACACACTTTGTGTCATTTCTTCGCATCTTAATTTTTTGGTTTCACGCCAGCGTCATAGACACATTGAAGCCAGCAGTACGCCGTCCACTGTACCCGGGACATGGCTCACGATACCAACACGACACGAGCACGGTTTGATCGCATACCACAGTGTGGAATGGATATCCGCGATCCAACGTACGCTGGTGTTTATTGTAGTACGTTCTTCCAAACAACTGAGATCATAACGGGCTGTAGCAGCAACGGGTTGAACATCCTGTAGCCCACGAAATTAGCGTTCCGGATACCGGCAATGGCGAATGACACGACAACACTCAAGGCCACGGCTATTCATTGTTCAAAGGCAACAAGCGGCCAACTCAACCTGACCATTGTTCAAAGCAAAAAGTTCTGGTCTTAGTAGTGTAGTTCTCCCGTGTCACGATAACTTAAGGAAAGCCAGCCAAACAGCACCGTCAGCTCATCTTTTCCCGCAGTATTTGAGGAAGTACTCAGACAGCTTCACGATCTCAACACCGAGGACATCAAATAAAACGATGAGTTGCGTATGTTTTCCTGTGGCTATAGGAAGGGGAAGGGCAGCAGCGTATGAGTTCCTTCTTCAGAGATTGGGTTCCACAAGGTGGCAACTTTCCAGTCTACCTCTGTGCCGTCGAGTTCAGGGGGCCATACCCCTTGCGAGGCCCAGCCAAAGAGTACCGTCTGCGTGTCCCACTGCACGTTTTTCAGCCGAGACGCCGCGGGGATGACCATCCCCGTATCTGCCTCGTGCGAAAACAGCTCGTACGCCTGCGGGATAGCGGCGTTACAGAGAGGAAGGGTATAGAACAGGGCACAGTGAGAGGAGGGGGGTACCGCAGCTGGGTGACACGGAGTGTTGGTTAGGGTCAGGGCAAAGTGCCCAGGTTCGACCCGGGACCACAGAGAGAGTAAGTTTTCTCCACCTCTGTCACCTACTCAGGTTCCTTGTTTGCCTTGGCTGGCTCTCATCCCGCGGAAAAATCAATGCCAAATCTGACTTTCGCTTGGCGACCGCGATCGGATGATGGGTATCTCTCTTCACACCTGGCACGTAGATCGGACGTAGCGGCCGTCCGTGCTGAAATCGATGGCGACGATGGGGCTGTTGTGTGTCGTCAGCATGGCAGCAAGAACGTACTTCTCGTCCGTGCTGCGAGGAAATCGCCAAGTGTTTTGTTTTTTTCGTGTGAATATGCCAAGTTGGACGGATGGGCGGACGGACGAAGGGAAGGAGGGTGGAATCACACACTCGAAGAGAACGGGTGGGGACTTTGTGGCAGTCGCGATCCCACATGGAACAAGTGCATCCATCGTAAGGACGGTGTAAACGCTCGTGCATCAATGACAGCGGTTCAGAGAGCGATCCCGCCGGCGCGGCCTGTGGTGTGGTTCAGCGGCACCGCTAACGTACGGTGTGATCTTGCTGACCAATGCTTGTCACAACGTGAAGCCCGTTCACGATCCGTGTTCCTCTAAAAAGTGCTCGCCCAAGGTATAATGAACCCCAGGAGGGACCATCCCCGGCCACCGGCCCCCTTCGTTACAACCCCGGAGATACCAACGGCGGACCCATACGCTCACTTGTACACGTAAACCTTGCCGTCCGCAGCCCCCATCGCCAAGCTCTGGCCGCTCGGCGCCCACTTGATGTCTGTGATGTGCTTCTGCGAGTCGCGTGCCGCGTGCAGGACCTGTGTGACAACAAAACAACACGATTTGTGGCTATTTTGCTCGTTTCGTTCTTTTTAATGTCGCACAAAAGGTTTTCGAAGTGGAATCGAACAGCGTAGGCTTATTGCACACAACGGGCCGCCCCACGAAGGTATGGTGGGTTGAGGGTAGTCCTTCTTCAAAAGGCGCGCATACTTGTAGCTTTTTGTCCGAAAATATCGTTTTACTGCGCATCATTCAATGGGCAGTGATTCTAGCGGAAGAACACACTAAGTGATACTTCAGGTTCCTACAAAACCTTGTCCAACAAGAATCAGCGGGTGTTGGGAAAAAATTCCATGTATCATCACAACCACATCCGCCGGTCCATACATCCACGCCAGATCGTCGTGTTCTCGTAGCATGCTGCTGTTGCCTTCGAACTGCCTGTCGAATAGGACGATCTAAACTAGAATTCGCCGTAGCAGAGGTTCGGTCCTGAAAACCGTCTATCGTCTGGGTAAAAAAAACGTGGGTCTGACGCACATCTTACTCCGGGTGATCGATCGGGGGGTCATTCCGCGTCCAATGAAACCACCGGGATGGCACGGTAGGGTCTGGAATACAACGGGGGGTCTGGCATACATCATCGCTTACGGTATTGTCGATCGAATGTACATCGACTTCAACGCCAAGGATCTGAAGGATCAAGCCCTCCCGCTGTGTCGCGAAATTATTAGTGCATTCAAAACCAAGCTATTTTCCAAGCTCTCTCTCTCTCTCTGAGGCGAAACCTTTAGCGCATTCAAGCTCTCTCCCTTCCTGGTAGATACAGAATGGTTCATCTAGTGATGACCCACCTGGAAGTCGTCCTCCTGGAGCACGATCCACTTCCCGTCGAACTGCTTGCTGCTCTCCCGGATCGGCATGCCGAAGCCGACGGCAATCTTTGACCCGTCTGGGGAGTAGGCCACCGCCCTTGACGGCATCTCCACCTCGTGGCACCGCATGGGCCTGGTCGTTGTCATCGCCCGAAGAGTTCATAATGAGAACCATGCGTTTTGAGTACATTCCCAGAAGAACCGGAGCTAGACTAGCGGCACCTGTGCCGAAGGCTCACCGACTTAGGGTCTGTCGTTGTCGTTGCTTAAATATGAAGAGGTCCCACGCCCGGAGCACGCCCAAACATTCCTCGAAAACACTCTAATAAATATTAACATCTCCGGACTAGAAATTACAAACATGAAACAATTTCTCCTTTCGGTTGAATTAAGTAACTATAGTTCAGGCGAACTCGCTCTGCATGTTCAAAATACGCGGCCACACAATCGTCATGACTCAAGTTTGAAGACTTGATTAAAAATCAATAGCACCTTTTAGAGTAGATGTCCCAGATCCTAAGCTGCTTATCCTCCCCGACGGTGCAAAACTCCGGGGCCGACGGGTGGCAAGACAGCCCCCACAGTTCGTGCGCGGCGTGTCCTCTCAGTAGCGGCTTTCCTTCTTCGTGCAGGTTGTCGCCGCTGGTCGCGTTGAACTCGAACAGCTCGTTTCCTGCAGAACGAAGGCGTTGTTGTTGTTGTTGTTGTTATTCTTGTTTTGTTGGTGGTGGTGTTGGTGCTTTCGCGATCTACGTACCCGTATGTACCAAGACACGCTCAGCGCTACGGTGCCTCCATTTTCCGTACTGGTTCAACCGATAAAACACGGCTTCCGGAGTCAAAATATGACGCGCGAGTATGCGCTTCGCAATGCAGAGCACAAATGCGGCGGAAGCGATTTTCGCACGGTCACCACGGGAGCGACAGCCGTGACTCTTGCCACACCCACGGGAGAAGACTCTTTGATAGAACACGTCATTAGCCCAACAGAGAAGAGAAAACGGTAAAGTATCCGTCGCATATCAATCGCCGCCTGCGCCGAAGGGCACGGAAACAGATGGCGGGTCGATCTCCCACTGAACCACAACTACCGGATTCTGTACCTGCCGTCCCGACCAGGACCTTGTCGTTACTCGTGTGCCAGGACACACTCCGGATCGAGGGATTTAGAGAAGATGTCAAGAGATTGAGTTGGTGACGAGGCTGCAGATTGTGCCCCCAGATCTACCGGAACAGACGACGCCGGGTCATCGGGAAGCGAGTGTTTTGTGAAGTGTGGTTTACGTAATATGTATACCCTCCCTCTACTTATAATATCGGCACTCGACGAGGGCTTGTTGCCGTCTCAAATCGCAACACATCCCTTTTGCGCAACACGGTTCATTCATACGCAAATGAACCTACGGGTCGGTGTCATCTAGAACAATGCCAGTTTAGTTGGGCGTCCAAACCATATTTACCCTCTGTCTAAAGTTGCATCAGATGTGTTACATCGCCGTTTCGTGTGTATCGAAGGACGTGCCGCCTCCGCCATCCATTCATCTGCAAATAGACAAAAAAACACGATTCAGTCAGAACCAAGCCTGAAACGATCTCCAAACTAAGTAAAATGAAGACTATCCATTTAAGAAAGAAGTCTCACCCTGTATCCATCTGCACTGAAAGCTGCCAGTAACACGAAATCAACGAACTGTTCGAAAATGCCTCACCTTGACGTAGCCGTCAGCACCCCCCGACACAAGCCCTTCCCCGGTGGAGCACAGCGCGAAAACCTTTTCCACACGATGGAACAGAACGACAGTCAGGCGACGACAGTACGACAAGGCAGCAAGACAACAGCAGAAGAGAGGAGACCCTTTTCAGCAGACTGATCGTGCCGCCGCGGTCGGGGCTACAATAACGATGGCGGAAAGTAGTGGGATACGGCAGTTCGGTGCAGACTGGACTAGAGTTATCTTGCTCCTGCTCCTCCCGCAAGTGGTTGGTGAGCGATCTACCGTGAATGCACACTTCCTACCGTAAATAATGTAACTTGTCGGGGCACAGTAACATCTGCAATGCGCCACCTATTATTTTGGTCCGCTCTTGTATACGGAGGACGTGCAAGAGGGTCGACGCGCGAAAAAACGGCAACGCGTTCGTCTGAAGGATAAAACAAATTTGCCGCAGTATTGTCTAGGCGACAATTTCGCCAAGAGGACAATGCTGACTGACGCGCATCCTCCCTCACCTCTGTGGTGTGGGCCTTTACCAAGGAATCAAGCCGACGCCCTAAGAACCTACGTGCGTACGAAGAGGAGCAGATGAGGCGTGTGCATGAGTGGACGGATTTCCTCGGGTTTAGGTGAATTATAAACTGGGCGTAGTGTCAAAATGATCATTCTTGGCGCCAGCTATCCGGCAGAGAATGCCAGCGCTTTCGGAGGATCCCTTCCACTTGCCAATACCTTTGTGGATATGTCCATCGAAGACTGAACAACAGGGTCCATTCCGTCCGGCCGCCGACACAAAGTTTATTATATGGTACAACCAGTGCTTTACGGTGATTTCGAAACCTGAACACGCGTTCATCGAACGGTATGAGAACATGGCTCGGCCCGTCCCATCCTAGGCACGACCAAGTCTGACAAGGGGCATCGCTACATAATGTGTCTTCTCGTAACCTGTAGATGTGCCCATCGAAGGTTCCGACGACAGGGTTCGTCCCGTCCCACCCTTGGCACAGGAAAAGCTGCCGCTTTCCGAAAGGCCCGAGGCTGGCGGGTCTCCTGGTCATGTTCTGCCCACCCTGTTTTATTTTCATGGAAAGAAAACCAATAAACTTTGGCTAAGTTGTGATTCTATCCTCGGGTTTAGGGTTGTTCAAACACTCGTACTTTTGGTTTACCTTCTAGGCTCTATTTTTCGCGGCACGTTGTAGGGTGCGTGGGTGGGTGCCCTCGCTGAGAGAAAGGGAAATTTTGTTTTCATCTTCGTTGTACTTGATGCTTCGAAGTGTTCCATACGTTTCTACCCTGTGCTGAGTCGTCCGCTCGCCCAACCTGTGTACGTGACTGAAAGCACCTCCAATTCTTAGAGCACAATGTATCCTCAATTCACCTGTATTGTCCAGAAATCTACCGTTCCATCCGCGCACAGGATGAGACCGTCGGAGTTGATGGTAAACCCGAGGGAGAAGGTCTTCGCCGGACCGGTCCTGGGGGAGTAACGGTAACGACATGAACAGAAACGCCGTGTGACAACCTCCTCTCGACAAACGGCTGGCGCACGTGATGCTGACAAAAACCGAAACTCGAACGAAAACACGGCGCGCAAGATGAATAAGAGTGTTGTTGAGACCGCGTGCCCGCTTGGACTGAAAAGGGAGGTGGAAATTACGTACCAGATAGTGCCATAGAAGTACAAGACGTGAACACCGTCAAGTCTTGAACGATAGTCTGTTGTGACCAGAGACGGACAGCCCTTGTTTGTGTCTAGCTACGCTCGTTCACCTGGTTGTACACAAGAGCACGGAGTTCTCCCAGTCGTACACGGCCAGCCCGTGGTGATCGTCGGCCCCCATCGTGGCCAAGAGTCGACCGTCTGGCGAGAACGTGACCGTGGTTACGGCGCGGCGGTGGTACCCCTCCAGCACTCTGACCGTCCGCATCTCTCCCATCTCCCACACGATGACCTGGCACGACGAAACGAAACGGGGTTGTATTTGATGGAAATCCTCACGCGATGCTGTCCAGTTGATCGAAGGGTTCCACCACAGCGTGACTAAAGAATCGTATGCGCGAAATCTTCCGCATGAAGAGCAAACCTTGGCGCAAAAGTTGGCGTGAAACCAAAACTCATCATAGCCGAGAAAATCAACACGCGCTGCGTTGTTTATCGTTAATCTATGGCAAAGAATGGTGCTAGTGGCAGGGCGCACCTTGGATGCACTACCGTCGGTGGCACAAAGTCTTGGAGATAAGATTGACGAGGACAGCGCTGGCAGTAGCAATAGTGATGTCGCGTTGTTGATGTTGCTCTAGCTATTGTTCCTCTCCTCTTCTCGATTTTTACCCTGGCTACGTTAGGAGAGAACCCTCTGAACTCTGCTTGGTGTCTCCTCGATAGATAGATGTTGCTCTCTAGGCTACAGGCTTGGTATACCTTCGGGAGGCGTCCCCTCTGTCCGCTGGCGGCCAAAGGGCGGGAAGGGTGCGTGTCGAAGCACAGGACCTCATCAGTGTGGTCCATAAAGAACCGCTGGACTTTCTTGGGCACGTCTTGCCTGTGTGGGTCGTGTGAGTTGGATTTGTCCGTCGATCGATTGTGTGCTACAGTATCTGGGAGGCAAACACACCCGGCAGTTCCTGGTGGCCTACCAACCGCCCTCTCGGCCACTACCGGCTTCAGAAAATTTCCTTCAACAAAGATGGACGAATTTTCTCAACGACCCTTGAGCTATTGCATCTCCTTCCTTCTCTTTAGCTCTTTCCGAGAAACTGGTCGGAAATAGGGGCCACTGCTGCGTTTGCGCGCGTCCCCAATGACGAAAACTACACGGTAGGTACCAACGCACACCTAATACGTGTCTGACGTCTTCTGTAAGCACTATCGGGCGGCGTCTCGTATCGTGCAAATGAAAGTTTAGATGTATTTGCTATCATGTGCTTCCTGGAGCACCGTCCACCCTCGCCACACGGCACCCCTCTACCTGCACCTGTTCAAACCCGTTTTCATAAGACTCTACCCGCCCAACTGATACCTCTCAACGCAAGTGTCTATTCCCATCATTTGCCCTCCGCAGCACCACCCACCGGCATAACACCATGTTGTGCATTCTCTGTTACTGCCAGCCGGTTTCCTTTCCTCGTACCTGACAACGAGGCTCCCGGCGAAGAACAGTACCTCCCCGGACGCGGTGTACATGGCCGCTTTGCGGCAGTCGTGGCCGCGGTACCCGTGGACCCACTCCAGGACGAGATCATTGTCTGGGGCTCGAGTGTCCTACGCAAGTAGAGCAGCAGTTTCGATAAGTCAGAGCACGCACGAGGTTAGGAATTAGTAACGCGTTTGAAATGAAAGTTCTATTAGCTTCTCCCGCCCCGAGTGCAATCGGTGGATAACCGATTGTCCCGCTTGTTCGGTGGTACATGCTGAAGGATAGGGTGAACACAGCGTTGTGCTTTGCGGTCCACGTTGTTGCCGCTGCTAGTGCCATGTCACAATCTTTTTGTTCTTCTAATCCATACAGAAACGTAGATGAATCTACATTTGTAGCGACGGTGTTTTTCATTCTGTCTTGTCTCCGATTCCTACTGCAAACCATGTGGCACCTACAAAGGATGTGCTCTCGACCTCACGTGGGAAGAAACAGAGTTGAGGGTCCTAACGCACACCCCGCCTGGTAGATGGCAAGCCGGGGTTCATTGTGTGGCGAAACCTTCGGTGTTCGAACGAAACGCGCTTACGCCTGCGAGGTATCTAGCGATTTTCTTTATAGAAGGACGGATGGAGTTATGTTCTCCAACAACACTCATTAAGAGCGCCGAAAATAACTAGATCACCGAGCATTGGAACAAGACAACGGCAGCCGACAGCACCTATTGGGCCACAGACCTTCCGTGCAAGGCATCAGACCATCTGTCCTCGAGGTAAATAAAACCTAGCCTGCATTTTGGTGGAGGGGAGAGAGTACATCGTCATGACGAGGATACGTCAACCCCCCCCTCGGTGTTTGCCATCACGGTCGGGTTTTCGTTGTTTGGCAACGACGTTGTAAAAACAAGCCGATCACTTCGTGAGCTCGCCCACCAGGTTACCGCTTCTTTTGTTTTGGAGTCTGTTTTTTTTTTTGCGGTAACCATTGTGAATGGTGGTCGAATAGATTATGCTGTGCGGAGTCGAGAACCCTCACTCCGCGCAAAGGGGATGATCGCATCACGTTGTAAATTGGTTAAACACCCTCGAGGCAGTTGCACAGCACTACTATAAATGTCTCGGAAGTGAAAGCACCAGAAAATAAACTAAGTCATACGCGGCTGTCATCCGTACGCAAGGTAGTAAGCACAAGATACCGAACACCCTTAGCAGGATGCAGCGCACCCTTTATGTATGCGACTCGCCGAATACCTCACGGCGCGTCGCGCTTGGTGATGTGAGAGCCTGGTCCGGTGAGAACCCGTCGAACTCTGTCCCGGCTTTGTAGGGATGATCTAACGACTAAAGCATGCACGACTATGAGTACACCCCGCCCCTGCACTTCCCGCAATTCGCGACCGGGAACTCACCTCTGGGGGTGCACTCGAGGGTGCCGCCACGGCACGATGCCAGGGTTTCGTCGGTCCAAAATGCTCTTCGTCTGATTCACAGGAAGGACGGGGTACAGAATACTAAAATACAAAAACAAGGTACATATGCTGTAAGTGATTACAAGCTAGTTTTTTTCTGCACCCAGCGCAGTGTGAAAGATCTCGCGTCATCGTTCTGGTATGAAGGCGAGCATATGATGTCGGAAGGTTGTCAAACTATGAAGAAAAACTTGCCGATACTAAACTATGAAGAACAACTTTCGGATGCGAGATGAGCCATCTACAGTAGTTAGCGAGAAGTGGTAACGATCCGCCCACCGACCCAATCCACCCACCCACTCACCGGCGTTTTCTTCCATGAGCATGGTTGCTTCCGAGTCGCCGTTCTTCGTGCGGTCCACCCTTCGGTCTTGGTCCCACCTGGCGACGTCGACCGCATACATTCAGCGAACGGGACGATAATTTAATTCGCGCCTACATCGCAACGGTCTCATTTCAGGCCTTTTCATACTGCCTACCAGCGCTCGGTACGGAAGGTCAAACGGAAGAAGGAAGACATCAGGCAAGACGAAGCTAGGCACACATACCTCGGGGGTAAAATTGTCAGGGTGTGTCGGTATCGGGGATATAGCATTGGCCGGCACAAGGCATACGGTAGTACCAGAAAAAACACTCTAGGCTGGTTCAGTATCGTACATTCGGAAATATTGCACGGTGTGTGTGTGCAGACCGGGACCACACAACGAAGTATCGCATAATCTGGAGTTATGGGATGCGTATAAGCGTAGGAGAAATATGTTGAAAAGAATATCACACCCTGCCTAGCTTGTAACGTTTCGATAGTCTGAGGATGAATTTCGAGCAGCTCTCATTCCTAGCAAATGAGTGTGTCCCCCACGACGTGCCGTTGGAGTTCGCTGTCGACCTTCAAGGAAGGCAACCTATCCCGTTGACCCTTCAACAGGTCTTACGCGCCCCCTTTCTAGAACACGTGTGCATGGACATCAGACGCCAACACGATGTATCAAAGCTTCGCGCTTACCGTGACAAATCCCTCAAGTCCGGGTGACGCAGCCGGTCCTCGTCCGCCATGGCGATCGTCTCCACTTCGGGATCGTCTTCGAAGAGATCTCTCTCCCCGCCCCCTTTGCCCTGCCCGCTCCCGCTCTTGTCGGCGCGGGAAGAAGACGAGGTTGAATCGACGACCATCCCTGCTCCCTCGGCGTCGGCCCTTGCCTCGAACGCCCACAAAAGGAGGGCACAGTCCCGCCCTCCGGAGGTGACCAGAGACTCGTCGTCAGCAAGGAAGCCACAGTTTCGCACCGGGCAACCGTGCCCTCGGTACTGCCGGAAGTCCTGCGGAGCAGGGCAAAGGCCGTGGACCGGCAGGCACGCAAGGAGGTAGATGTTTGTTATCGGATATCTCGACCCAGAAAATAAATAAGGGAGCGAGAGCGTGGTCGTTAGCGTGGTCCGGTGCGGCGCGGTGCGGTGCGGTGCACCAGGACATAATTCACCAAAATGACAAACAGCCAAGAATAGATAATCTCTCTCATCTTGAAGATGAACTCTCGCCAAAACGAATGCACTCGCACAGACCCTTCGTGAACGGTTGTCAGCGGCACGTGTGTCAAGCCCCCGACAAGTTCTCGAAGGTCTTTAGAGCTTGCAAGTATGGCCAAAAACAAACAGTACGCCATCAACAAGGCACACGGCCTAGTACGATGCTTCGCAAGACATCCACCATTACACGACAAACCTTAAACGTTACCAAACCAAACGAACCAAGTCTTCATCCGAACCTGGTCGTCGTTGACCGCCGGGTACCGCAGAAGCCTCACGCGACCAAAGCCGTCGGCGAGGACGAGCTGCTCACCATTGTTTGTGCGTGCAGCCACCGTCAAGACGCATCCGTCCACCACGGAACCTAACGCCGAAGGCAAAGCGTGGCAGAGCGAGTGGAAAAGATAGACTGATGTCTGTGTTCAGAGAGTCGCGACGGTAGTGACAGCGGCAGGGACTCCATTGTTGTGACGCTAACGATGAATGCAACGTTCACGGATTTTGGAATGAAGGATGTACGTTGGCAAACACGATACGCACGAAAGATGGATGTACTAGAGGGCATGTAAGCGTCGTGAGGTGACGATCAGCATATCAGCACGACGTGGGGTGGCCGTACGTTTTGCATACACTCCATCAAGCTTTCATCTGAAAAAAACAAAACAGTAATTTTAATATATCAGGGGGGAGCTGTAGGATGGTTGGCTACTATCACTTCGGTACCAAATGCATTGAGTGACGGAAGAGCCACGAAGGTACGTAGTAATAGTTGCCCAAGGCCGCTGCCACCGTTTTCAATTTCTCACTCACCCCAGCCACCCTGCAGCGGCCAGCCGACCACACACGTTTGCGTCTCCCACTCCGTATCCCTCAGGTTCGCGGGAGTCATCTGGTCTCCCCTAACGAAGGCCGCAATAACAAAAAAGTGGTTTGGGGCACAATGAACTACTGGTTTTGGTCGGATATGCGGGTCTTTGCGTTCGAAAAACTCGTCAACAGCTCCCACCGCTAACCGCTGCAGAAACTGAAATCTTCAATGCCGTAGCTTGATACCCCCTGCATGGTAGACTGATCAATCCCGACCTTGTACCTTCCTGGAACAATTAAACCCTAAAAAGCCACAGGTTGCGCGGTATCTCCCACCATGTATCGCTCTCAAGTTGTCGGGAGTGACCTGGTCTTCCCCGTACCAATCCACAAAAACAAAACACAGAACAAAACCTTACTACGGATAGTTTATGTTTCCGTGTGCCCTTCGCAGCCCCTCTCATGGTCGTCTTCCCGGTGTGGCTCAGATTCGACAAGCGTGATCCAGATTTCGTGCAGGCCAGCCAGGCCGGCCTCAACTAAAGCAAAACGCGAAAAAGGTGAGGATATGCTATTGTCGCATGACCCTGTAGGAATTGTTTCTTCGTACAAGTAGTCACATGCCTCATTCGTAACCATGTTTCATCAGGAACACGTGCATTTCGCTTTGCCAGCTGAGTCCGTAGACATAGCGCGCACGCACAGCACCGAGAGCCCATACCAACCGTATTCCATACCTTTCAGTATCAAAGAAAAGGAGCTCTCCCCCCTTCTGGCTGTCACATTGTACGTACTGCCCGTCGCAGCTGAAGTCCAAGTGGGTCACCTTGTTATCAAACAATACGTGAGAAAGGCAGGGTCAGCAGCCTCTCAAGACCACTTCGATTTATTTTCTCACGTATACTCCACCTTTCACACCTTCAAGTGATTTTACCAACACTTGACGCGTGTCAAGGCATGTTCATGAAACTCTCGGAACTCCAAGCACGTTGTGCCTAGTGTTTTTGTGCACATGGTCTTGAAGGACACTTTCAAGTGGAAGTGCTGTGCCTTTTCTTGTGTGAACCCCGGGTTTCTGTACAGGGGGGGGTTATCAGGACGAGAGAAATGTGTGGCACAAGGTTAACAATAACAGCGTATGTGTTTGTGCGGGTGTCAGTTTCTTTCACCAGTATTGGCAGCGCGAACAAGCTGGCGATGGTCATGTGTATATGTGAAATCCTTCGTCCGTCCTCCTCGACGGAACAGCAAAACCACACTCTGTAATTCTGCGTTGATTCTGTGCTTTCCACGGCAGCATCTGCTTCGAAGGAGAGATCGACTGCCACCGGCACAGGGTTTAGTGTTAGTGCCATGCAACCTCCTCAGTTGGCAAATATATAAGCGACACGGGGGTGCCATTTTTTCAATACATTCCTCTATGCCGATCCGTGTGGCCACCGGTCCAAATGGTTCCATCGATCTATCGGAGTACTATCTTTCCCTCACCGGTCCGTTGTGTCCGCCGCACTTAGCCTTCGCGATATAGTCTCCACAGTTGTACAGGTAGACGAACGAATCCTCGGACGCTACGGCTAGGGTTCCACCATCCGGCGACCACCTGGTTGTGTAAATACAGTGTGCACCGTGCAGAGGCGGATATCGATTGACTGCCCGCGAGAGAAACGCCACGCTGCCCGTAGCAGGGCATGTGCCAAACTTGCTTCGCGACCACCCAGGCGTGGGTGTGGGCTACGAGGAGCCCGCTTGTGTAGACGAACATCAACCGCAAAAATTAACCCTCACCAAAGAGTCACTAACGGTGGTTACTGCTAGGGAAATCGAATGAATCCTCAAAAAAAAAACGGAATCCACCACTCTACCCAAGCTTTGAATATCCCTTCTTCTCCTCGAAAAACCGTGGCCGTCAAGCACGTGGAAAGTTCCAGAAACGACCTTGGTAGGGTGAGGAGGCGGTTGGTCAATTGCACAGGCTCCAACCGACGAGACCCTAGCAGCGCTCCGCGCCCTCCATGTCAAGAACTACTTCTCATTGATATCCCTACCTCGATTACATGTGCGCCTACGCCAATGTAGGCCCCTCGACAATAAAGTGGTATATCCATGTTCATTCCCTTGAGAGTGTTCTATTACAATGTGCTTCTCCAGGTGAAGAAACGAACCAAAGTTTGGGCTTGCCAGGTTTCACCGTTCATGGGTTCAAGCGGTTCGTTTATCCTCTGTGATAAAGCAGGCGGTCCTATACAAGCTACCCAACTATTTCTCCATCTGAATCGGAACCTCGACCGTGAGCGTGTGTGCAAAGAGGGGATGTTGAACTCCCTAAAACAAGGACGGGAAAAAACTCACCGAATGGCGCTTATAGGCATCTTGGAGTCTCGAGCTTCGTGCACCACGGTCAGGTCCTTCTCTCGAAGCGCCACCCATGCGCCGTCCTTCTTGTTGGTCTCGTTTGGGGTTGCAGCTACGTGCTTCTCCTGCTGACCAAGCCACCACACGCGGTGCATGTTTGAAATCGCCAAATATATGGGAATGTGTTCCGTGGATCACGCACGCAGGCACACACTTGCACTATCACCAACTGTCTTATTCGCAAACAAGAGGAGGCTTGCTCCATAGGGTAAAGACGTATCATTTCTTACCAGTTTCTCGCCGTAGTCATTCCACTCGCCGGGGTCGCTGGCCAGACCCCCACCAAGACCGATAGCCAGCATGGTGCCGTCAGGGTTGTAGCAAACGCACTGAGCGGGAGTGTCGAGGACGCACATCTTAACCTGCACAGGACCAACCATGAGAAATTGCAGACGAAGCGGTACTTCACCATGCGGTCAAAATGAGTGGGTATGTGCGCGATGTATCCCTCCGCAGAGCGGTAACGCCAACCCCCGTACGTGTTGACATGAGCAGTTAAGTGCTCGGAGGGATGATCCTTTGGTCGATAGTTGTGATGCGTTAGTGTTTTGCGCACATGCTATCGTCTCAATATGGTAATGATACAGACACACACGGCGGATATCGACGACACTGACGGCGACTGAGACCTTTGCATAAGTGCATGTTGGGTGCTCAAAAATCTTCGAGCTTCGGGCTCTCTCTTACCATTTTCCGGTGTTCTCTGTTCCAAATCCGAACCGTGCGGTCTGCTCCTGCACTGGCAAACTGGTTCGGGTCGGTTGGGTGCACGGCCAGCCCTCGAACGCCGTGGCCGAAATGCCCTTGCGCCATTGGCCCACGGTGGAGATTCGTGCCGTCGGAATCGAGGATTTCGTATATCTCGCAACTGTCCGTCGCCACCAGCATCTGCGTGCGAGCGTGTGCATGGTGCGCTCAGTGATGGGGGTGGAGCCTCGAGCCTCAACGGCGTTTGAGTCTTCCTCTCCCAGGAGACCTGTATGTAACACTTGGGCCGCAACTATATAAAAGTACAACAGAAGCACGGGAACATCACATCCATATGTTGAAATATCTAGAACGCGCATAAAGCGGTACAAAACGAGTACAAGGGTATCTTATCAACACCTTGTGGTTGATGATGTCCCAGCTGAGGGAGTGTATCATGTGGGAAATTGGCCCAAGCGCTTTGACGTCGATGCACACGGCCATCTCCAAGGAAGATGTCCACAGCTGAACCTTCCCGTCGGCGCTTCCGGTTGCCAATCCCTGGTGTTCAGTGCCATCACCTCTGAACCACCGCCACGCGTTCAAAAAAAGGAAACAAAACGTACGAGGAAGCGCATTTAAAACCTGCTGAAGACACCACAGCTATTGAATCTATCCCGATCTGCTGGAGGTTGTACATTCTTCTCTTGCTTCGCAAGGCAGCATATCCTGTCGGCGCGAATGGCGTCATCCCTTCAGCCACTTCGCCCCTACGGATGCTTCCTGAGTAAAAATGCATCGCTCGGGTCAACCGCGGAAAGACGGTAGCACAAGCACAGCACCGTGTCGCTGCTGAACGAACACGGCACTCTGGCTTTCGCAGCAAAGCGTTCCGTGACCAAGACATCTATGGTGGCTTCAAAACTGCTTTCCTCCTGGCGTCACACCTTGCCATCGCCATAATGGCGCCAGTGTGAGCCTTGATGCAGCGGGTGCAGTTTCGGCCTTCCCACACGTACAAGTGCCCGGAAGTAGAGCCCGTCAAAACCATTTCGCTGCCTTCGTCACCCAAGCTGATGCAGCACAGCATGGGTTGACGGGCACCCTTGCGCCCGAAGATACCTAGAAACCAAGCACGATGACGTGGTGTATTGCGGTACATCCTATCAAAGCGTATAGGGAACGCTCTCAGAGGGAAGGGTTGGATTGACGCCGCGGCCAACAAACGATGTTCTCCACTTTTTACGCCTTCCTACTAAGAATCCGTCCCTAGAACTTGTTCCTGCTTCATAAGGTTGAGAAGGAAAATGTATCCATTACCACGAGATCAATATGTTCCGTTTTGAGGTCTTTCGCAAAGCTCACCGTGTGCCGGTAGCATTCAAAACTCAACGACCTTCCACGCCACGATAACACAACCCACGACTAGCCGACCACTGAACGCCGTGTAGTAAGTGGTAACACGACAAAGCATAAGGATGCCAGCGATTACTCATATACCCTCGTTTACCTTTTTCCACCTCGAACCTTCCCCCGACACGAGTCCACAGCCGGAGGTGGTCTACACCGCAGGACACGAACAGGTTTTCGTGGACAACGTGGCAGCCTAGGACGGGCTCGGGGCCGGACGGCGCCGTGAAGAGTGTGGTGCGAGATTGCCAGTGAAAAACGGCCACCGAGTGCGCCGAATCTTTGCCCACGGAGACGACTAGCTGTGTGGTAGGTTTGCGCGCGTCGTAAGCATTTTGTTTTCGGAGCCGACATGAGAGCGTACGCAGGGTTAGGAGAGGGGACACCTTGGCCGGCGAACACGTGGCGGCAGAGCCTGCGCTGTTACGTAAGCGCGCGTGTTCCTTTGCTCACGGCGAAAACTACGTTTATCTACGCTTCATGACGCTCTCGCTCCGCATGTGCTGGATCTCGTAAAGAACTACGCACGTGCCGCGATTCATACCTGACCGTCCGGTGAAAAGCAGACCTGGCACACCCCTTCCGTGTGAAAACCTCGAAAAACGGATAAAACCTGGGGCGTGCACAAACATGTAGGCAGTCGAGAGCGGTTATTGTTTTCATCAAACTACCGTCGCATATTGCAACGGCATCTAGAATAAATGGGGTGGCAATAAAACAACTACTTAGCTTGTCTGGTTGTTGCCTTTGGGCCAATTGGACATAAAAGGTTACATGCGCGGACCGTGTGAAATTTGTGGCCGTTTGCCGCAAAGTTTCATGAACTTTAGCTTCTCTCAGTACGTGTCACGGTACTGACCTTATAGTGCCTGGGATCTCTCTCTTTGACGAGAGGCGCTAACAGTACGTCGAGTTATTCCATAATCCAACGGCGGCGCCGACTGTTCTGTCGAAAGTCTGCTGCTACTACATAGAGTACACCGCAGGTGCAATGCTTCTCAGGATAGTTCCGTATTGTGGCGATGCCGCGTTCCGGTTTGGAACCCATTTCTTGAGTGCCCGTTGCGTCACGTCATGTATATCCTATTGCCCCCGCCATTTTATAAGCACCGTATTGTTTCCTGGCCGTATCAACTTCCACAGCAAGTGTGATTATTTTAAGATGGCAGGGGCTTGGTGGTAACCAGCAACTGCTGTCCGGTTGCTGCAGCTGTCATACTCAGACTTACACCGGCCCAAGTTAGCTGCCATCGCCGTCCAATGGGCTACGCGTGAACACATAACAACACCACCACGTAAGTTTGGGTGAGAATGATACGGCGTGAACCAACGAAGATGAGAATCTCGTCAATGCCGCAGACGTGAATGTTGGGTGTTTTTTGTTGCTCTTCGCGGCCACTACGAACCTCGCATGTCTCAGCGCACCACACGCACACTCTCGGTCTCGCTCCAAACTCCCCCGAACACACGATCGTCGACGTGGCCCCTTTTCTTTGCCCGGTCGCCCCTGATGCCGCCGCTAGAAAGTTTAGGTCCTCCGTGCGATGAACCGCAAGGCACGAGATCATGTCGCTATGACCTAAGAAAAAGTACTGTTTTTGCCCCCCCTGAAGTGACAAGAGCAACAGAAAAAGGAAACAGAGAGGAGCGTGTGGTCACTCTTTTCTGGTGCTTTGATGCCCCCACTCTAATTAGTAGACTTGATTCATGACAAATTGTCACTTGCGGGAGAAAACAGATAAGCCCAAGGGGGGGCTACAAGAGTCCAACAAACCCCCGACAGCATGATACCTGAAAGGAATCGGCCCGGTCGACAAGAGTTCGAGCAAGCAGTTCAAATCGCTGGGGTTGCGTTCGAGACCATGTCCACGCGCGCCCGTGAGGCATTCTTGTTGTCTGGCTATCGCTCGTTTCAAGATGATGTCATTTGCTCTAACTACATAGATACATGCAGAATATCGCTACTTCACTGGAGGAAAGTAGCTCCAACCTGGTTAGTGACGACGCCGGCAGAGCCGGCACCAACGACCACGTTGCCTTTCGCAGTATAGTGAACCGCCCCTCTGCTGGCAGTAGAATTGAATCCGAAAGCCCACAGCAGCTCAAGGTTTGATTCCGGAGCGCTGCAACATAGGATGGACAAAAATCAGGTTTGAACAGTAGTGCGAGTGGTGTTTGTCTTTCTGCACCTTCAGAAGCAGGATGTGTCTGACTGAGTTCCGACGGCGTCAAATCTTGAACCCCGAGTTTCTCTATTCGTGACTGGCCCAGGGGCATCTACAACCCACGCGGCCTTCATGGTGTGCTTGACACAAAAAGAAACAGCTCTCGTTCGGGGGGTTGCAACGCACCTTGAGGGAAGCTTTCTCGGTACGGCGCTCGGTTCTGTAAATGCGGCAGTCCCTCGCCATGCTTCCTGAGGGCCCGACAACCATTTACTGATGACGTAAGGTGCATCGAGTGACATGACAGCTCACAAGCATCGAAATTTTACATACGGGGTGGGTTTTGCGGTTTGAACACCGTCTCTCTTGCTGACTCTGTTTTAAAGCTTTGAAAGGACCAGGAGAAATCATCCGTAAATACGTGCTTCGGAGAAGCACAAGCCCTGCCCGCGGCCGGAGGTTGAACGCCAAAGACCGAGGGAAGAGTTGTGGCCGTGGTATGCTGTTCGGCCCTTTGCAACGAAACTTATCCGACAGAACCCAGGGTGCCTCCGACTGCACGGCAGTGTGATCAGCTATGCGACTTGGCTAGACTCTTGTTTCCAGCAAGCATCAGCATCGTACTTGCGGCAGTAGATCTACCGAAGGGCCCCTCTCCTCCTGCGCCAGGGCCGCGGCCAGTCCTGAATCCATGTCCGTTCCCGCTGTGTGGCATTGCGGCCGATAGCACCTCTTTTGTAGAGCAAACAGCGAAGATGCGGAGCGGTACACCACGAGAGAGATATTATGTAGATGTCAAACCTTACACACATCCCAAGACCTACTGGCCTCATGCTGTGTACGGTGCAAGCCGCAGGCACAATTGCACTACACCGCTTGTCAAATACGCGGCACAGGTTTCGCGTGGTACATCCAGAGCAAACGTATGGCCCCTTCCAAGGACCACGTTGCGGTTGTTAGTTCTAAGCAGGCCATCAGTTGAATCGTAGTACGCCTGCCTGTATTGTGATCCAGCTGCAGAGAACGATGTCTAGGGTACCAACAACTTCTTCAACTTTCCGCGTTGCTTTGCGGTGAGCTCTCATCCTCGAACCTGTTTCTCTCGCGCCAACACGTGCACCGCGTCAGAGTCCGTGAAGATGGGGGTAGACACGTCCACCTCGTGTACCGCTCCGCAGTATTGGATCCAAGAAGTCACTTCAGGGGTCTTCTGACAAAATACAGTAAACGTAACGGCATCGATGGCAGCCTCATCCTCTTGGCCCGCCGACTGCTGGAACGCCTGGCAAGAGCGACCAACGCCAGAGAAAGGGCAAGAGACATGTATTACGAACTAGGCTGGCATATTTGAAACAAGTTGGGCATCTTGCGTTGGTCCGCTGCACTATGTAGAGATTTGTCGCTTGGAGGTACTCGAGTAGGGGAGTAGTGAGTAAGTTAGGCATCCATTTTTCAAGGTGTGAACGTATCGCGCTTACCATGAGAGCGATGACCTCAATCTCAGATTCAAGTGGAGGGTCTAGCCCGCACAGCTTGCACAGGCCTGAAATAGTTGATCGCAGAGCCAGAATTGTTTCGTCGACGGAAAGCACTCCTGACTCATCGAAGTCGTAGATCCCAAATATGTACCTGCCGGAATGCAAGCAGCGACTTGGTGGGTTTGATGAAAAATCATGACCGTCCATCATTGCACAATCACACCTACAGAGCTCCTCACTCGCAACCAAGGCGGGATGGGACAAAGTATCTACTCCCCTTGGCTACGGACGAGGTGTACTGGTCCGTGACGAACGAGGTCGTGACAGGTCGGGTCGATCGTGCTGTCTGTCTGGGGTGAAGGGCTGCTGCGGCTTAAACTGTCCAACCATGTACAGTAGATATGTATAGTACTGTAGTACAAATTCCTCTCTCCAGTGTTCCACAGCGGCTGGCACACGGACTGGGCACGTGATGTTCATCTCGCGCACCTGATTTTTTGTTCGATGGTCATGCCTGACATTATAGCCAGTGATGCCAGGCACTCCAAGGCATCGATGAGGTGGTTCTGCGAAGCAAGCACAAAAAGCAACAGCGAGGACAAGGTGACAAGGTACCTGCTTCTGGTTCGGAGAAAGATGATCGAGACATGCTGTAAATCAGCAATGTCCACAGCTCTTGCTACTGTACAACCTCGGTCATTGGGTACTTGATTGAACCTTCAGGAGAATTGTTCGTGTAATGTTTGTCTCTCGCTCCTACGTTGTCTGGGACAAACGGATACAAAGAACTGCGGAAACCAGTCAGCGAAAAGGCCTCAAGAAAAACTTACATGTACTTCTCGTCTACAGTAAATATTCTAAGACTACGCGACACTTTCAGGGGTCTGGGGCGAACTACGATCCCCACCTTGTCGTCGTCGAAAGTGCTGAAAACCGCATCTGCCACCTCCGTCAGCCGGCTGTCCGTAAACCCCAAGTACTCCTTGAGCGAGCACTGTAGCATTTCTCTGAACTCGATTATGGTCAAGCCAAAGCCTTCGGCGACGTCGTTGAACGCCTCCCATAGATCTAGCACACACGCCCGTGGCACTGGCGAGGAACCGGTGAGGACGACGGACAGCCGTGAGCGTTTCTCCCGCGGATAATGCTGGTCGATTTCATCCCTCCCAGATGGGGCTATTACAGGCTTGGGGTAAGTGTATCTTTGATGTCTCAACAAATGTCGCACAGCAGCACCCACATGGTTGAGGGAGTGATGGAGTTTCAAGTGCACGATGGATTGGATCTTGCTCAAGGATGTCGCCCGCTTACCATGTTGATCTTTACCGCACACGGCAACGTGAAGACGCCTGCATTTAAGGTACATGTAAGTGGTGGGACTTCTGTGCAAGCCGCGCCAACCGCGTAGCCTCGTTTGTAAGCGGTGGCGGTTGACCTGCTCATCGGCGTCTACGTGCAACACTCACGGTTCGCTAAATGCGCCACCTCCGGGGTTGCCAGCGGTGCCGTCCCGATGGTTTGACCCATGTTGCCGTTCGCGAACTACCGTCGAGCAACACCGACACAACCGTCCACGCAAGTTTGGTGGTCTCCGTGTGCGTTCCCATGGATCCACCCTTGGACCAGATGATCGGCAGGTGAGAAAACCAAATCCTCTCCGTTCAAATGCGGAGCAATGATTTACGGTGGGTATACGGCGACCAATCAAAGCGTCGATACTTGCGGCGCGACTGTGGGTCTTTTTTTTACACGCTGCCTTGCCACAACGCCACAACCCGCAACCCATGGAGAAGATGGCTCAACCGGCGGAGCGAGAGCCGGGCAGCCTCACCGCTGAGATGTTGTTGAAGGCAGACCGGCTGTTGCTGTCTTCGGTACAAAGTGCAGTGTGCATATAAATATGCGCATGGACCCTCGGATATCCACAACGGATTACTAGACTCAATAGACGAGACTACATAGTCTTCACAGCAGTGTACACAGCAGAATAGTCGTCTAGAACGGGTAATTACTTATATTTGATCATGTCGAAAACGCCACGCATGATGCAAAAAGTTCTTCATTAAATTTGATTTTATGGCGCAATATAATCAGAAGCAAGTTGCGAAGATTATTGGCTACACTACTAGATAGACAGGGCGGGGTAATAATGAGCCGCTCGGTAGCGACTCAATACCTTGCAGTAGTCTTATCTGCGATGCTGAATATGCACGAATCCCGACACACAGCGTAAATCGTTTGTGGTGAAGCTACGCGTACACTAGAGGGACAGGTGTGCGACGGGCGCGACGATTGTGGTTGTATGTGCGGCCCCGTTCAAAATTTTGCACTCTATCTACATACATGCGGTTATTTATTTTCCTTTGATGCACATGTATGTACACACCCACGAAGAAATATGAAGTGCGGACGCAAACACACACATCAGGACATTGGAAGAGGCACGCATGCGGCATGTACCTGGCGGCGAGCGTATCGCACATCACACCGTCGAGGAGCACGACTAGCAGCGTAGACATAGGATTGTGACAAGACAGATGGCAAATATTGCGCGAGGCTCACAACTTGTCCGCCACATTCGTCTCACAAGCCTTCTGAGTTTCCCGCCAAGTGAATGTTGCGTGTTGTTCGTTTGTGATCATCGATCTGCTGTTTTTGGATCACAGTCGGTTGGACCGCTCAACATCAATAAACACCCGCCAGGTTACACACGGCGCATGACTATACCCACGGCGCACAGGTCGTAGAGGCCCGCCCCCTCCTGGTTTTCATAGATAGCTGGTCTCGGATCAGCGTCCTGTTGTTCTCCTTCTGCTGATGATGTGGTGTTGTCCTCCCGGGGTTTGAACTCTACCGCGTGTCTGTGTGTGTGTGCAATCTCCGATAGCTTGAACATTTTTCCTCTCCACTGGGCATCCGGGGATGCGATCTCCTACGAATTTGGGTCACATATGCCTGCGAAGCACGGCCATCTGTTGCCGAAGCACGACCAAACCGGTGTGACGAAGAGCGCGTAATTTTTCTTCTTGCTCAGAAGTGAACAGATCGTCAAACGGTGCCCGATAGGTCTCGTTCTGGTCCGAAAGGTGCGATAAATATGCGTCACGGAAATCAAACTTTGGGCCCGATATACAGAGCCTTTTTGTCCCTCCTGGGAGATGAAGGGAAAAAAGGTCGCGCTTCGCGCTCCGCGGCTCATTACAACTACTGTAGTGTCTATAGATTAAGTACTTCGTGTTCACTTGGTGGGCCGTCCTCGGCGCATTATTCTCTCGTGGCCGTTGGGTCTTACACTAGCTTTGCATCGTATGCATATGAGAATGCTGGTCCGTGCACATTTTACGCCCCCTCGTCTTTGTTGATGCGCTCGTCGCCACTGATGCACCGCCGAGAAAAAAGGGAGCTCGGAACGAAGCACTTATCGAATCATACCCATTTCTACAACACAGGGTTTTATACAATTTGTACATGTTCTCAACAGGCATGCATGCTTCAACTGCAATTCGTGTATTTACATCCTGCTTTTGCACCACAAGGGCTAGGACACCAAATCGCCGTTTGGCTCGAGTGCTCGCCGCCTCTTGAGCTCCGTCTCGACCTCATCATGGCGCCGCAGCAATGCCGAGAGTACAGGATCTCGGCGAAACCAGTCTTCCTCCCCGGGGGTTGTTGCAAGCGTCATCGACGACATCCGTTCTTGAACACCACTGCTGTCCAATGCTGGGCTGTACCAGGTGCGCTCATTGTTCGAATATCTTGAGTCCGTAATTGTGGGGAAAACACGCCCTATCGAGTCGACATTAACATCGCCCAAATTTCCAACATCGCTCGAACATGTTGGTTGCCAGCCACGTTCCTGGTCCAAGTGGTACGCGCCTTCCCTTTCGCCAAAGGGTCTAGCGACGACGCCCCCCGGAGGGTTCCTGCGAAGGAGCACCTTTGCTGTTTTTCCGTCGTCCTCACCTAGGCGGACGAGATCGCCCTGTGTATCAAGAGCAGGAGGTTTGCTGCTGCAAGGCACTGCTAGAACCTCCTCGTTGTACGTTGGCAGCAGTGGCGGCTCCTCGCAGTTGTTCAAAAGCATCCACGCGCGTTTCTCCAGCTCTTCTGGAAGGTTATCCAACGCGGCGATGATTGGCCCGTTGCTTTGAGAAGCAGAAGATGTAAACGACCGCACCTGCACACGTAAATCAGTTTGTCAATCGTTTAGAGAGTGTCTCCCACTTCGGACAAGGGTAGCTTCCGTCCTGCAGACTCGCCGAAAAATTGGTTGGGGCGTTGGACCTACAAACTTAAAACACGTTATTCTGCCAAAGTCATCATGAATGGCAATGGTGCGAGCCCAACGGCAAACAAGCCAATACTGCTTGGTCGGACACGCGTTGCTTTTAGAGACTCGTGCCCGTTCAATGACCTAAACCGAAGCATCCCTTCGCACCTGATCTAATGTGATGGTTGATGACGGTGCGAGCACCTGCCGGCATTCTTCCAGCAAAGTGCGGGCGCGGACGTCTAGAGTCTCAAGTTCGTCACCTCCTCTGTCACACGCATTGATGGATTTGTCCTGCACCAAGCTTTCAGCGTCAAGACCAATTGACACGTGTACTCCCGTCTCGTCTACATTTGTATCGGCCGCCTCCACCTCTGCCGTCGCCAGTCTGTCGTTCACGAGCTCAGGCGCCTCCGACCCGCTTGTGGAAAGTTGTGTGGGCAATTCATCATGGGCAGGACGCCCTGGAGGTGAATTGAGGGGGGTTTGTGATCCCTCAAGGACAGCAAGCTGGTCAAGCATTCGGCGCTTGTTCTCGCAATCATCAGATTCGCTTTGCTTCGAAGGGCTTCCGATGCTGGGTTGAGGTGATTTGCCTTTGCCCGATTCCAGGTAGGGAGGAGGTTTCACGATTTCTGCGACGTGGGTGCTTGGCAGGTCTTCGATATCGTTACACCTCGATCGCACCGCTTCAGTTGCCTCACCAAATTTCTCTTGAGATCGCGTCCACCTACGAATATGCATTGAAGAGAACACCAGGTGCACAACAAAATTATGGAAGCGGTAGTAACATAGTTATGCCAACACCTGTACTCGCAAGCGCGGTCGTCCGCTAGCGGGGCTGCTTGCAATAGGACAGGGGTAGCGTGGTATATTTAGCTCGTGTTCAGAAACAAGGGTGTCAACCCGCAGCGCATGCGCAGGGATACGTGAGTAGGTGTCGTCGCGGGCGACGCCCCACATGGAACTCCGGATGTCATTTCTGATTGTATGGTCATTGGCTCTTCTGCCGGGATTGGCTGGACATTTCCGGGAGACCACATCTCTGTAGCCGGCGCTTCTGGGGAGGCGTCGTAGTTGTTCCGAATCGTGTCATGGCGACACGCGTAGTTTCGTCCAGATACTGAAAATAACCCGCGGGCCATCTGGGCGATCATTGATCTTCTAAGGATGGTCATAAGAAACACATCGAAGAATACTACTGGCGGTTAGGCCATAATATCAATTGACGCCTAACCAGCTCTGCCAGCGACGGCATGACCAATCGATCAACAGTATTTTCTCCGTCGAAACCTGTCATGGGTCGATTGCCACTCCTCATTTGCTTAGATAGCTCGGGGAGCAAAGAAAATACGCTCCGCGTTTGTCTGGGTTGGATCTGTATCCCCTTGCTTCTCCCCCCTCCCTTGTGCTTTGGGAGGAAGATAAATGATATTTGTTGTTCGTGACTTGCCTCAGCGAGATCAAGGCCGCACTGCTGTCGGAGCATCATGTACAAGAGCTGTGTGGTGATCTTCGGCTTCAATGGTACTCCAGATTCGGATCTGTCAAAGCCCTAGATCAATCCTGGGCGGAATCTGCCGTGAGCTGTCTGCGGAACCGTATTGCAGGCACAACCCTAAAGAGAAAGCAAACGAGTACTCTTTGTGCTTCCTTCTTGGAGAGGCTTGTGATCCTCCGTGATATAGGTCGCTCCTTTCGGTGTGGTGTTTGAGGCCGTCGGATGCGGTACACAGCAGCCGTCGTGGGCGCTCACGAATGACGGCTACAAGATGCGGTCTCAATAGTGATTCTGTTAGACTACAGTAGCAGCGCGAAAAAATAGCCTAACAGGAGATGTGGTGCGGTCTGACCGTCGAATTCCACGCGCGCAGTCCCCACGGTCAAAATGTTCTGACACTGGCTCGGGTGCCGTAGCGTACTACTAGTTACCACGTGCCGCACGAGGCAGCACATTGTTGAGGTGAAAATAGTAAATGGCATCGAATACAAGTCTTGTCTGCACAAACCAGGGGCTAGAATCTTGCCAGAGGCGATGTGCCGGCTTGCTATGATCAAGTCGCAGAGATGTTAGCACGAGTTGCCTATCGCGTCAACGAAAGAAACTCATAAATTCAACGATACCAAATCTGGGGATGAACAACTTTCGTCCCCGCGGGAATTCCTTTCACGCCCCCTTTCGGGGGAAAAAAGCAACATATTGTTCACAAAAGACAAGGGAGAGTAATGCGAAAGCACATCTGCGTGTCTGTCATTGGTACAACTGTATTTCCGTGCCCGTTCTTGTAGCGTGTACACACATGTCCTGCTGGTTGCGGGGGGACACAGAAAAAACGCTTGATTCACGATCCCATTTGCCGAAAGAGGGTGGTCCAATACTCGAAACACGGCACAGCCTCTACTCAGTAGCCTATACATCAGGCACGCAGGTTAGATACCGGTGTGCCCTCGGATTGCGCTTGAAATATGATACCCATAATCACGATACCAATCAGAAGAGCAACGTTTTGGGTTGCACGCACCAACTTTAGGTAAAGACTCAGCAGACATCTTTGGTAGCATACATGTATGCAATGCATACAGGCTGACAAACACGGAAGAGCAAGGACTCACAGCCGTAGACACGTACCAGAAATCTCCCTCCGTCGCTTCTTCCCTTCGTCTTCGCCGTTCTTCACGTGGGAGGGGCTCACTCTGACGAAAGCGTTGGATGAACTTGGCCACCGTTGTTGACGAAGATCGATCCATGTTCGTACATTGGGGGTGTGGTCGATGTAGAGAAGAGTCCTGGGCAGCGAGGCTGCTGTACACTATCTACGTTCCGCGTAGACAGCGACCGTTTCTGAATTCTCCCCGCTACAGACTATGCTGCTTGAAGTCTACCGGTGAGACGGCTCACGTTCGGTTGGTAACAGTTGCACCAATACAAGGTTACTGGGAGGTTATGCCCCCTGCGTCGTCCTCGCTGGTTCGTCTGGCTGGGCCTTCTGCTCGTCTGCGCCCTGTCCCTGACTAGCTGGTGCCCGCGTGCCCGCCCTTTTCGAAGCCAAAGTCGACAGTCCCGTGGAAATCATGCCTACACGTCTACCTCCAACAGCAACACCCTACTTTGATCGTTGTGCCCGACGCCCCACGCCGAACACCCCTTGGCAACTCACAGCGAGTGCAATGCGCGCACATACTCGTGTGATTGCACCGGCCCTTCCGCTGGTGTATGCCCTTCGTCTTTCGTGGGCCGAGCCAAAAGCCCTCTTCTCCGCCGCTCGACGCATACCGGCTTTCTCTACTGCAGCAGCACAAACATTCACCAACCTTCGAGATACCGGGCACTCCAAACCTCGCAGCACATGGCAACTTCTCCCTTGGGCTCACGCTCTGCCACTCGATGTACCTGTACCTAGTCGGAAGTCTCCGCGTGTGATGGACGGCATGCGAAAGGATGTTGGCAAAGGATCCACCCTCCCAGGTAATGTTGGTGTGAAGAACGTGTATGTACGTTGTCTGGTCTATAGGGGAGCGCACAGCAGTACCATCTGTGTACTCTTTGTTCCCATGTTTGGTGCTTCCTTGTGCATCACGTTGTTCACATACACATGAACCTGTAAATGGAAGCAACTGGCACAAGGCTACAGCAGTAGTAATAGCGTGCTTCTCCTCTGCAACGTTTGTGGGCAGGACAGATGGCCAACCCTTTCTCGGTCCACTTGCGGCTAATTGCAGCGTCAGATCCGGGAACCTGCCGCCTGCTGTTGTCCGCCCGGCGTGCTGGTCACGCTGGAGCGGTTGACCTTTTCCGCACTGATCCTCAGCAGCATGACGTCGTTGCAGTTTGGACTACACTGTATTGAAGAATAGACTACACTCATTTCTCATTGACAACATTGACATGGTGCCCAGGTTCTCTGTGGCAAGATTGCCAGCTGGAAGCGATGCGATCGCTGCATCACCCGTGGACTCTGGGACTGGCCACCGGAAAAACAAGTCTCGCCAGCTTCAAAAACTACGTCGCTCAGGATGCCTACTTTTTGAGAGCGTTCGCGAAAGCCTACGCCTACGCCCTGGCCAAGGCGGAGGACGAGGAAGATATCCGTGCCTTTCACTCGCTGATCGGGTCTGTGTTGGAGGAGCTTGGTCTTCACGCTTCCTACTCGGCGAAGTGGGGAATTGACGTGGCGAACGTGAGAGCCAAAACGACTGGTGTTAAATTGCAAATCGGGTCCTGTACACCCCTGAATTCGGTCTAACAGGGGTGTGGAACGTTGTCCATTGCCGTTTCGCCTCTGTACAGCTGCTCAGCGACTGAGCGTATCTTTTGTATCCCATTAATCAGGGTCACAGGAGTCTTAGGAGCAGCAATTTCGTTGAAAAAATCGTCCCGAACCCCGTGGCCCTCTCCCTTGTCAGACGCCTCCTCCAGTTAAGGCAACTGCAGAGTATGTGGACTTCCTTATGGCCGTGGCATCGGACCCGACATCTTCAGTTGCCCAAGTGCTTGCCGCGATGGTGCCATGTATGCGGCTGTATGCTTTTCTTGGCAAGGTGTGAAGGCATTGGTTCTGACTTGGAGGGTAGGGCGAGCACGGGCTTTGTCCCGCCGCTCTTGGTTGGCCACTTGCGCTCCCAATCGTGGGTTGTTTGCCATTTGTGTCGGTTTGTCCAGCAGAAACGTTTGCTCTCGGCGAAGGGGCGGTCGAGTATCGTACACAGCAGTTGAAAAGAGTCCCAGCTCTCTACAGGAAACAAACAAATGCAGATTTCGGTAAAAGAACTACGAGAGCGAGCTATGTACGTGTTAAGCGTACGTCCCAAGTGCGAGTTTCGGAGTGTCGTCACGATGGATCATCTCTGTGTCTTGGTGCTCTGTCTTGTGTGTTGGGGTGTAAACCTAGGGTCCGGTTAACAGAAAACCTGTGTGCAGGCGACGCTCATTTGCTGGTTTGTACCTGGCGAGCCTGCACATTGGCTTATGTCGACGGCAGTTCCACCAATGCAATGGTATGACATACGCCGACGTGCTGTCTTCCTTGTTGTCGCTCAGGAGCTTCGGCATGCCTTTCCGAATTGGACAGAGAGCGCCTACGCCGAATGGATTGAGACCTATAGCTCTGAAGACTTTGAGGTGGGCTGTTTGGCATCATTTGTGGCCGAGACACGTCCTGTATCTGATGTGTGATGTATGCACGCAACGTCGGTGTTTTGTTCCAGCCAAAATGTTGGAATGATAGCAGTGCTGCGAACCTGTCTTGTTATTCTTTGAACGTTTCGTCAGGGAGGGAGCTCCTCTAGGTTTACCACAGTGTACCTAATCCTATTTATCACCCGTGATCCGTCCTGCCCGTCGCACAGGATGCTGCTGGCCTAGTGGAGTCACTTCTGGATAAAAACTCGGCTGGGGCTGACTATCCTTCCCTCTTTGCTCTCTACCGCAAGGTACCACGCGGTGTAAGAGATTAAACGCTGCAACTTTAAGCTTTTGCCAAGCAGCGTCGGTGGCCGTCGTTCGTGCGTCTTCTGTATAGTGATGTTAGAGATGCTATGCTGCAAACGGTCTCATTTCTTGGCTGGCCTAAGTGACAAACATTCAATCATACCGTGACTGCCCTTGTGTGTGTATTTTTTTTATACATTCCAGGCCATGGAATTGGAGTTTGCATTCTTCGATGCGCAACTCGACGGGGGCACCGAAGCTGCCATGCTTGAGCAGTCGGTAGGCGCAGAAGCAGGTGGTCGACAAGGCATGAGTGCCCAACCCGGAGGGCAAGACGCTGGGGGTCGCGGGCGTTTCCGCGGCGTGCACGAGAGGCTTGCACTGCTTTGTGTGGACTTCGATGACACGTTGACCGAAGGCGACACCATTAGCCTTCTCGTGGAGACAGCCAAAGCTCAGGTGAGATTCGGGTGCCGTGTAACGCTTGCAACGTTTTTTCTCGGTTCAGAGATACACGGTTTGTCAATCTTCCATCTTTGCATCTTTGCGGGTGCTGTTCTAGCCGAGCAGAAGACCGAAGTTCCACAACCCAACGGACGCTGGGTACGTTTGAAGATCCCTCGCCTTGCTGACCGTCGTGATGTCGGACGAATCCTGTGCTCGGCAGCGGGAAACTCCAGAAGATCGGGTGGATCTAGGACGCGAGTGGGGGCTTTTGACAAGAACATTTTTGGGCAAGTGGAGCGAGACAATTGAGGACAGCTTGTCCACCAAGGTAGTTTGTTTCAATTTGTGTTTTTTGGTAGTGTTGAGACGACGGTACTGCTGTTGTGCATTCGTACGTAGCCCGTTCCGGCTCAGGCCAGTCTGCCAGCGGTGCTTGCGGTGACGGTATCGAAATCAATCTATACCTTTTTTCTTCTGTTCTTTTTGCTGTTTGTTTCCTTTCCTACTCCGTCGCGCACCTCACGGGGATGGATATGCACCGGGGCTATTGGTTGCCGATCATGGACTGTAGCCGAGTAGAACGCGGTGTCGCCATCTGCCGCGCACGTTGGCGTTCTGTCGCACAACCTTGTGCGTATGATTCCTAAACCGTTACCCACCTGAACCCTGTTGCACGCGCAAGCGTGTGCTAACAATGCCTCTTATTGGCTCCGTGCGTACGCGCTTTGTACTTGGGCGGGGCCATTTGTCGTGCTAGCTCTCCACCACATGCACCACGAACGGTTCTGGAGCTGTCGACCGTGAAGGTTTGGAGTTGATGCTGCGGAAGCTGGGGGTGGTGGACCTTGACTCGGTGTCTAGGGTTTCCGACAGCAAGGTGAGGGAGCTGGCACGAGAGGCACGGAGTGCTGCAGTCGTTGGCGCCGCATGTCTTGCATGCTTTGTTCAAGTAGCTTTTTAGAGATGAGGTTATAGAGACCGGAACGGCCCACGAAAAAAACTTACCGTATACGGACGCATGTCAGGTCATCCCATTGTTCTTAGAAAATATTTATTTTCCGTGGAGTTGTCTTGTTCGCTTGAGCCCAAAGAGGAGTGCCAATAGTGCCCGACCAAAAATGAGTCACCTCCTGTTCTTTCTTTGACGGAATTTTGTGTACGATCATGTAGAACATCGTTGATCACCATTATCGACAATACATTTCGTTGACTTCCCTGCTACCTGCTGAGTTTTCGCCGTGTTTGAGCAAGTCTAGTAACCTAAAACTGCGTGACGACATCATGAGGGGGCGTGGAAGGGCTCTCGTTCTAATTTGTCTCTCCTGGTGCCCCGTCGCGTATCGTAAGGTATTGCGAGGGCTAACAAGAGATGAGGTACACTCATCCCTTGCTGGACCGTTGAGATCGTCCTGGAAAGTGCGTCCAGGCATGGCACGGTGCATGTCCCGTGCCGTGGTCTCTCCATTCCAAACCCACGTCGTTTCTATCAATTGGAGCCAGGACGTCATTTCGAGAGTTCTTTCGGAGACACTGTTGGATAGTCACAGGTGGGTGGCTTGGCGTCACACAGAGCTGGGTTTACCCCACCAAGGAGAGTTTTGCTTTCGGGTTGGTGTTGTCGTCTACTCGAAGGTATCAATCAAATATCGACGGATCCGGCGATATTTTCTAGCAGCAATCATTGTGCAAAGGGAACCTGGTACGAACGCTCAGATGATGTGATTGGTCAACAGGCCCGGGTGCAGCGAATTCCGTAATCGACCCTACCCCTTCCCCCCTGTCGTCGAGGTCCCGTGTGAAAGGCTGGCCGGCATCGTGCAGTGGGAAGTTAAGTCGGTCGATGACGGGATCGAAAGCGGCCATGACCTGTGCGGCTTCAGAGTCCACTTGACGTTGTTGGTGCTAGCCCCCGTCGCCCATGCGGCCGATATGGATCTGGGTCCAATTCTGCCCTCTTCCTACCTTGTCTGCACGTATCGTTTATTTTTTGCAAAGTTCACCGTTACCTGGCCTAACCGCCTCATCTCACCGCGCGTGTATCTGTGGAAACTGCCAACCTATCGACAGCTCTTCGTCCTCAACGACAGGGATCGATGCCGGGGGTTGTGTTTGGGCAGGTAGGCTGCGAGCTCTGCTCGGGAAATTTGGCCGTATTGTGTAGCTCATGCCGTGTAGTGAAAATCCAACGGGAACCGGTAGAGATCATATTATGTAACGTACGACACGGTTGTGTCGCCCGACGTTGCCTTCCACATGGTTTTCACTTACCATGGACCTCTGGTGTTGTGTCACCTGACCTTGCCTTCCATATGCATTCAGATACCATCGAACACCGGTGTAGTGTCCTCCGAGCTTGAGCGAAAGGGCAACCTTAAGTCTGTATCCTCCTGTCCTTGACGCATCCGTGTCCCAGGCGAAACGGCCTCGCCCCGTCTCGAAGGAGACTGCCCTGCATCCGTCTCATCCAACGACCTCGTATTCGACGAGCACGGGGTGTCAACAGGCGAGATTTTGGTGAAGATACCAGGATCGTTCGGCAAGCATCAGCGTTTCCTAGACCTAGCGGCGACGGCCCGAGAATCTGTCGCCAGCTCGGAGTCTTCGCCAAGACTCATGACGGTCTATGTGGGGGACAGCGTCACGGACTTACTGGCGATGCTGGATGCCGATGTCGGGATTGTGGTCGGCAACAGTGGCAGCTTTGAGAAAGTAGCCCGCGCTTTCGGAATTGACATCCGTCCCCTCGCGTCCGTATACGAGGCGATGGATGGCACAGGGGAGTTGCCGAGAACGGGGGCGCCGTCAGGCTCTGGACAGTGCGTCTACCGTGCTTCCCAGTGGGCAGAGATTGACGTGTTTTTGTTCGGTGGCGAATGAACGCCCCTCTTGAATGATGACCTTTTCCTCTTGAATCGGCTGGCCACTCCGTCAACCTTTGGCTTCAAATGTTCGTCATGCCACTTCTTCACTGTCACTCCCAGTTTCTACGCATACCGCACGGTCTTGTCTCGAAAAGAAGAGCTCCGATCTGGGGTTTATACTGGAGTCCTCTACGGCGGTGCATGCCTTGAAGGGCACAGTAGTCACCGTAAGAAGCCGTCACATACAAAAGAGCTTGGCCGTCCAATTACGATACCGCGACATTTTGTCCTACACAAAAATTGTCCCCCAAGGTCTTGCCCGAAAGATTTTCTCCCCAACAAGATTTCCCCGGAAAAAATTTAGCCACATTTTTCGCAATCGCAACATGAACTGACATCCCTTAAGGCCTTCACAACACAATGCCGGATGAACCATGTTCGCATAGAAATCGTTTCCTGCACGAAAGCACCAACTCACAAGCAAAGGAGTGCTTGGTCACAGCCCACTATCACGGATTCAGGTTTGACGTATATAGGCGGCTACGGTTCAAAGGAGAAATGTAGATGCAGCTTGAGCAGCCGTCTGGCTCGTGCAATACATGTGCCCGACGTGTTCATGCGCAGTCCATCTCCGTTGGTCCTTCTTTTACAACATCGGCAGCCTTGGACGTACTGGGCTTGCTGTCCTCTCCCATATCTGTATCTTCGTCCTTTTCACAGTCATCTTTGCTTTCCAAGAGAGCCGTCGCTTCCAGCTGCTCTTGAACCAGTTGCACCTAGTAGAGTCAACGAAGCGGAATCCGGGGGGGCAGCGTGACAAGAGTGTTCGGAGTTCGGACAAGCCATGTCTTTCAAAAGGACGGCAACACGAACAGATCGGTGAGACGTCACACCAAAATATTCGCACCTGATCCTCGAAGGCAAACTCCTCGCCCATATCCTCTTGCGCTGTTCGAATCTTAGAGAGCATCTCGGCAGCCGTATTCAAATGAGCCCTACGCTCGAAACAAAAGCAAAGGCACAACGAAAGCACGGCATTGGGGATGGTGTACTCGATTTTAGCTTCCAGCAAGCAAGGACGTTCTCATGTGGAGCAGTGTGGCACGCTCTGCGCAGCTGGTTGCTACGCAGTGCAGAACGTACCACACCTCGGAAACGTAATATCCGTTGGCCAGCACAACGCAAATGCCCTATAGAGCAACAACCACACACCCAAGAACTTTATTGGTATTGTTTGTTCACCTTGCGGATTCGGCTGCTTTATGCACGATCGACGTCAAAAACGGAGGGACGGGAAGAAGCGACCAGCACTCCATACGGCGAGAAGGCTCAGCACGCCGAAAAGAAGGTTCAACAAATCGTGCCTGCAAGTAGCTGTGGGGTAAATGAAAGGCCACAAACCGGAACACCTTCGAGGTTGATGAGCACATGCCCTCACTCACCTGGCACTTTCGCAGTCTGGAGGTTGCAAGCTGTTGAAGGCAACCGCCATGAGATACCACAGTTCGACGTTTTCGTCATCCTCCTGCATCAGCCCACTCAACACCTGCAGAGCCTGTAGTCGATGTGCACCCAACACGCACGACAGTACCGCAAAAATCGGGCGAACCGAGCGTCACCCACGACGAGTTGCATTCTTCGCTGCCGCCTCTTCGCAGTATGTTACGCTTGCTGTGGGGCATTTGCTCTCCCGAACGAGGCGTCGAATTCCAACCGTCAGAGCGAATGCTACCCCCGAAAACAGAATGCATTGTCGGACGGACTCTGAATAAGTCGCTTATTCAGGGCCCTCAACCTCCTTCACGCAACCACTACAGCTAAAGGGAGCGTACGGTCCCATACTGACCTTGTCAGAGCATGACTTGTTGACGGAAGAACACTCCATCAGGACTTTCGCCAGCGAGACGCGGAATTCATGGTCTGGAGGAGGCTCTGAGGGCACCGCGTGTGGTTCAAAGTTGAAGGCGTCGGACAGCCAAGTCAGACAACCAGACGGGGAGTTTCGTTGTTTCCCGTAGCTCATGACCAGTCTGCAACATCAAGCTGGCAATCACCTGCCGTCGAAAGCTTCAAACAAATAGAACACATGTACTTCGTGTATTGCGCCCGACGGCAAAAAAGAGCATTGGACGAGGCAAGCAGGCGCCTGTGTACAGTTCAGTCTTCTGTCAAAACATGCATATGACCAAAGCTTGTACAAGCAATACCTCGTTCAACAGCGATCAGGGCCAAATAAACTCAAGGACAAGTCGTGGGGCATGTTCAGTCGCACGTTGCCGATGCAAGTACGGGCACAGATATGGCAAAAATGCACCTAATGCGAAGGGAGTCATATCCTCGATTTCGGGGCGGGCTTCTACTCTCGGCACAAAAAAAAAAGTGCACCCACCGCAAAGTGCGAGTCGTCGGAAAGCCTCCTCTGCCGACTGGGCCGCTTCCTCGGGCCTGCTTTGGCTAAGGCGAAGATTTGCCACGGCATTCAGCGGCTCGGGTCCACCGTAGTCATATCTTATGCTCCCATCTAGAGCATCCTGGAAGGTGACAGCCAGCCGAGAATACGTATCGCGGAATGGCCACAGGGCCACCATAGCAGCATCAGATCAGTCGATCTTTGACTACGTTCGATTCCACGATCTAGCACCAGTAGCAGTCTCCGTCTATCGAGGCGCCTCCTAATGCTTCACGCGAGACTCGAAAAACTTGTGGTACGCTTCACTAGCAACAGCAGCACGAGGGCCTGAAAGCTGACGCGACTCTCGCGGTTCAATTCTATTTACCAACACAAAAGGTCCCCATCACATTGATATACACAAAAATGTCGGTGAATCAGAAGGGCTGTGAACAAGCTGGTGGGAACCCAGGGCCAGGGTGCCAATGAGACACATCTCTTGGGGGGATACGACGCGTCAATGACGCGGATGGCCATGTGAAGCCGTAGCCCTGCTTGACTCCCGCTCTCTGTTCTCTCACCTGACAGCGTGTTTCAGCGTCTTCTTCGAAACAAAGATCCGTCATGAAGAGTTCCGCGACGCTGCAGTACGCCATGCAAGCTCGCTGTCGCAACGCAGCCTCGGCCTCCTTAGTCCCGCCAGCACCACCGCCGTCGGCGAGTTGCTTTCGCAACAACTCCAGCCCCTTCTCGTAGTGCCCCAGGGCCTCTCTGCCCTCGTGCAGCTGGGCCATGTATAAGTACTTATCCGGCCCTTCCTCCGGCCCCAGCAAGATACTTCGAGCCAACACCTGGTGCACGGGGGGTGCACGGGCGGGAGCCAAAAACTCTTGATGGTTGTCTTGAAAAGTCGTCCAACCTCACAAGGATGCCAATTGATTCGCAGACCGTTGTCAGCCCTCGTTGATGCAAAACGTCTCTGCAGGGTATTCATTGATCCCTATTTTGTTGTATCGCAGGAACGTACAGTAGCAGTGTGCTGGCAGGTGGGAACATATTCAGCATGTACCACGATGCGATACATTGGCAGGGAGGGAACACAAGAGAGGTGGCGACATGACATCTACTTCGTTATACCGTATGCATAGGTGACACAAGGCACCACACCCCTCGGACCGATTTTCAAAGCTTGACTACTCCAAAGCAAAAGAGCAGCGATGCCGAAAATGGTGGTGTTGAAAACGTCTCGTCGAGAGCTTTCCGAAAACGTGTCACGTGATTTGTGCATCCACTTGGTCGTACAGTAATGGAGTTTTGAAAGTCGGTCGAGGGGGTGTGGTATCTTGTGTCACCAACGGTATGGATGTACCTGCTCTGTCACCACCATCTGTCACCGAAACAGCAGAGGTTTACCGCTGTCATTCAAGGTATGCTGCCGCAACAGCCGTGTTGTAATGTGGGGTCGGACTGTACCTCCTTTGCCGCTGCCGGCTCCCCCGCGTGTAGCATGAGGTCCGCTGCCTCGCCCATGATACTGGTGTCATCAGGCCTCGCTTCCAGCACCTTTTGGTACAACGTTACGGCGAGAAAAGGATCTCCCGCTTTGCGAGCCTGTTCCAAGAGTGCATCGACTGTGCCCTTCTCCAGCAGTGACTCTTGAATCACGAAGCCGAACAGGCAGGGAGACAAAGCAAGAATGCCAGGTGGTCAGGTTGGAGGGCTTGTACGTCGCCCAATCTCTCGGGGAGGATAGTTTTGGGTGGCAGCCTACATCGCAGCGAGAAACTGGGTCGTACCTTCACCCGAAGCCTGAGATTTCCTTTCGCCAGGCGTTGACTTCGCTCGACCTTTTCCCTTCCCTTTCTTTCCTTTGCCTTTTCCCTTTGCGTTGGCCATCTCTCAGGTACGGGAAGCGAGGTACACAGCAGTAGTGTACCGCTCAGCGCGGATGCGGCGAGATTAGCGAGGGGGGCACCGTGAGAGGAACACCACACCCCCATGCTAACAGCGTAGATGTTTAGTGGACACAGATGGAGCAGCCGCGGGCCCCCAACATGATTCCGTCACGGCGCAAGAAGATCATGATATGAAGAAGCCATCATTGATTGGTGTCTCCATTTGTTTGTCGACAACAAGAGAGTATAATCAAACCCACACCACCTTTATATTTCGAAAGGTAGGTCGTGGTACGACGTTTTTTCTGTACATCGTCTGGAACCCCCCCCCCCCCGGCTGGCATGCAGCAAAACAGCAGCAGTCAATATTCGGCTGGTGTGGTCATGTATGTAGTATGTAGACTAGTAGGTGGGTATCTCGCGTCCAAAATATGCGGGTGGTGAAATAAGCAACCCAAACATCTTGTTGATCATTCCTTCCTCGAAGTGTAACATCATTGATTGATTGTCTGAGCACCTGGCTGGTTGGTGTCTTACCTTCTTCTTAGCCAAATTCTTGACTTCCAAGTGCGTACTCTGTGGCTGTATCAAGACCCACCCGTCAAGATCCAAACAAAAATAAATGAAGCTGAGTTTGTTACAAGCTTCACAGGTCGGTTGAGGTCTTCATCACTTAAAACAATCGTGTTTGGCAAGAACAAAAAAATGACACACCACACGTGGTGTAACGAGTGGCGCCTCCATGTTTGTTTGCGGAGTGATGCTGCGAGCACAAGGTTTTGCCTTCAAGAAGAAAGCAGGAGATAGATGCGGATCGTGAAATGGCCGGAAGGTATAGTATAGGAGTGAACCCCCATATCCCTACCTATATGGTCCAGATATTTTCTCCGAACAAAGACAACATCATCCCATTTCTACTTGACCGTGGATCAAGAGCGCAAACCGACCCTCTTTCCTCTACTCCTTCCAATACTTGACGTCGTCAGCAAGCTTCATCACAAAGGAGATACCTTCCTGCTCCAAAAGAGCTATCTACAGCACACCAAACAATGTTAAACCTAGCACTGGTGTCAAAGAATAGACCTACAGCAGTAGTAGGCACGGAATGGACGCTGTTGGCGGGCGCCATCTACTATTATGTTCCAATTTTCTTGAGGCCTACATGTGCGAATGCAACATCCCTTACAGCCTCCAAAACAAGGCGTTTGTGGAGGAGGGTCGTCAATCTGCGCCACTTCGGTTGGTGGCTATGTTCGACAACAAATCGATGTCTCGTTTCACCTCACGCAAAGGCACGTGGAAATACAACCAAAACTCGCAGCTTCCTCCAAGCGAAGCGAAGATTGCCTGGACACGAACGAACTCAACAGACCCTAATATACTACATGGTCCTTCCTACACGCGTGCCACGCTGATGACGTTACATACACCGAAAAACTTTCTACAACGCACGAGCCTGGACTGCTGCTACGTGAGCTCCCTCCACCCCGTCCGATTGGCCCAAATGACAGAGAGCAATCGGGGGCCTTCTGTATCTATATCTAGGAAAGGGTACTGACAACGCTCGACTTCCACAAACGACAGCTACCGCAGCACCGGGCCGAGGAAATACAGACCGACCGCCCGTGTGCACCGATCTCGCCGACAGCTTTGCCCTTTGCTCTATACTACCTATGACCACCTCATCTCTTCCTCTTTCCGCATAACGGGTGCCATATAGTTCCGGAATCCCAGCAAGGTGCAAGACACCGCCTCGCTCGCACCAACAACTGGTCGTAATACCGCAACTGGAAGCGCTCGCGCAACGGAGCGCACGTACGACCTCCCATGCGGCCCTACCACCTCCTCTTGATCCTCGTAAGGAATGGCGATGATGGTCTGTGCTGCGACCTGTTGGAGCAACCAACGATGGAGCAGAAAGAACTACATGACGTCAAGATACACACGAGCTAGGAAAATCTTGCAGGCGCACTAGGGAAATGGTTGGTTGCCGAGCCGGACTGTGCGCTTCGTTGAGCGGGCATGCAACGCGTCCGACGGTGAAAACCTTAACCTCGCGGCACAGGGCAACAATGCCTTGCAAGAAGTGTGTACATGGGTTCGGTTAGAGGTATGACTGGCTCGAGCACTGATACCCAAAACCGCCGCCAACAACTGCAGGTGCGATATCTTGTCCCACTCAACTCACAGCGTTTGGCATCGCCGCTTCACGCGATTCCACAACAGGTTGCCATTCAATGCTCATGCCCGCAAGCTTACCCGCCAAAGCGGGTAGGGCGGAAGGACATGCGTAAAACGCAAAGTATCGCTAGCAGAATGATCGAATCCAAACCGAGAAGGAATTTGTGCCATATTTGGTCTGCGGTAAGTGGGATAGGCATTCCAAACGGATCGTACGTAGAAGACCCCAGCAAATAACCATTGGAGGTGGCACACACCTAGTCAATGGTAAGTTCCTGAAGATGAAGGCTCAAAGCAAGCAGTAGGCAGATGCAATGAAGAGGTAAACTCCAAACCCACACCAACTGCAAAGCAGGGCACGGACCACTACATAGACACAACACTCATTCGCTGAACATACCTGCACCTCCTTCGCAAGCGTATCGTACGCGTGCTCGAGGCTATCAATAACCCCGGTCGGCTGTTCATCGTAGTACTCCAGGCCTCGCAGCGACGCCTGAGCGCCCGGCTGGGCGACGATATCGTCCAGGGTACGGCTGACAAAGCTCGCCACGCGGTGCGAGGTGTGCAGAGTTTCGATCGTGATCGCTCGAAGGAAAGACTGGGTGCCCTTCCGCAAGCCCCGTAACACTCGCCCGTCGCGCCGATACTGCTGCACGGGCAGAAGTACGAGGTCGGCCACACCCTTGCCCATGGTAACCTGGGCAGGTGTGTTAAATGAGGCGTATGCAACCCGTTTGATGATGAGCATACACGTTTCTCACGCTCTCTGGTAGACGCTCATGCAGAAAGAACTCCTCTCGTGCATAGGCTCTTACCGCCTTGACCGGTGATTCGTTCTAAACAAGATGGCCCAGAGTACTGCGAGTCTTTCGCCCTCTGCACTAGAATTGAGTTTCGAAAACAAAGTGAAAATGTGCTGTCCTTCGCCCTCCAAATCCTCCCGCGCGGGGACATGCTCACGATCTTCGAAGAAGCCCTGCGGAGGAACTTCCAAAAGGCACCTAGCGCTTGGGCTCGGAGAAAACGTGACTAACGACCTTCACCGATACGTATAGCAGCACCACTTCTCCTCGAGCGTGTGCAAACCAGTGCTCACTACACCGTGATTTAAACGTAGGTTGAGGTTTAGCGTACTCACCAGCGGGCGGACGGCCGTAGTCCCGGCAAGGAACTTGTGCAGTTGGTTGGTGGTGATGTCTTGCACCCACGACTGCAAAACGGCCGCCAAAGCATGAGAACGCATGGACAAGATATTAGATCTCCGACGCATTTCGGAGGCAGGAAAGTTCACTTCAACCAATAGTACAGGAGTGCGGGTGGTAGACAATAAGTTATAGCTTCATGTCTCAATAACGCACAAATCCGTCGACTGCATAAAGGTATTTGGTAGTACTCGACCTCGACCAGAACGCTAAATAGTGTCCCAAACCGTTGCCCTTCTTCGTGGGGCCCTACTTGTATGACAATCGATTACGCGCTGTATTGGAGCACGAACGGCCTCCGGACAACTGGAGGGACCCGAAAGACAATTTCGCATGGCGATAGCAGTCTCTTCCTCGCGCTCTAGCTGCGAAATAAAGGCCAATTTATAGTGCTCTAATAACGCTGTCGATGACAGGATAGGACAAGCGTACCTGAAGAAGGAGTTGCGTGACACCATTCCATCCCGAAACGCCGGTGAGGACGACCTTTTGGAGCGTCAGATGCACTCCCTCGAGAGGAAACAAGTTCAGTAGCTCCATGTAGTCTCCGTTCTGCAGAGCCGCCACCTTGATCGTGCGTGGTTGGTAGTCAATTTTGACCTCGTACGGGCATAGAGTAGATGCGGGGGGGGGAGGGGGGAGCGAGCGCGGAGGAAGGAGACTAGAAATCACAGCGGGGCCAGAAATGTCAACGTCGTATTGTTCTAGTAGAGTACAACGGATAAAATCTTGTAGCGTGTAGGGTCGGTCACGTGCGTGTCGCTTCGCGTTCAGCTCTCCCTCTCTGATGCACAAACCTGTCGCTGAATCCAACGACGTAATCAATCCATGAGACCACCAAAAATATGGGTGAGTTTGGCGAGCGCGGCGACCGAGGGAAGGTGGTGCTATATCTTACCCCGTTCCAACACGACGAGAAAGCACTAGGGCAGAATATTGCATTGGCATCGACGATTTCAAGGCCATGAAATCCTACCTTGAAAGAGCCAACATCGCAGCACGATATGAAGAGCGGCCCAGCTCCCATTTCGGCCGCAGCCGTAGGGTCCTCCCCCGCCGCCTGTTTCTCGTGTGCAGTCGGAGATGATTGCACTTCGGGGGAAAAAGAGCGAAAGAAGTCCACCGTGTGCTGTCCGAACGAAAGATGTATCGGCAACAATCGGACCTTCAGCATGACCTCGTCTCCCAGAGGAGCATCTTCTGGGCAAAAGTGGTCTGACGGACTCCGTGTCGTCATACGAACGGTCACCATCTTGTGCTGGAACTCTCGTGGGTGGCGGCGGTCGTCTCTCCAGTGATGCAGGGCCTTGCGCGGGCGGCTACTGGTAAGCGTGTCCGACGCGTGCAGGTCCTTAACGCTGAAGAGAAGGTTCGACAGCAGGCTCGTTGGAGGCCCGGGGTGGAAGTTGTCCAATCGGAGACTGGAATTCTCGAGAACAACCTCGACCATGCAAGAAGTGTCCCGTCCTGTGCGCCTTCCAGATCGGCTTGATCCTCCGGACTCTCGGGGGAGTTTCAAGAGCTTGACCTTCGGCTGGCGTGACGCACGACGCCCTGCCTGGGCCTCGCCACGCCCTCCTTTGTCATCCTGATAGTTCTCGAGCAGAGCGTCAAGCAATTCCGCTTTTCGGGGCTTCGTCCCTCCGCCTGCCGTCGAGGACGTGTCGGCGCCGTCGTTCGCGTGTTCGCGGCGGCGGCCTTTTCCCTTAGCCGGGTCGCCCATCTTTCTGGTCGATATTCTCTGGTGGCGCCGACCCACGCTGCTTCCTGCGTGCGGAGTCCGATCGTCTTCGCTCGCACTCCTCTCTACCCAGTCTCTCCCCTTGAAGAGTCGCCAGCAAATGGACAGGTCGTGAATCGCAAGTTGAAATTGCAGCTTTTGGTCTATCCGCTCAGACCCTTCTGTGTCGGCTTCTCCGTCGGCATGTTTCTCGAGCCCGTGCCCCAATGCCAGTAGCGGGTCACCCGACAAGAACGGCAAGGACGTCGCTTCCGCCGTGGTGGGGATAGGAACGTAGTGTGGGTAGACGCGAAAGTCTTCGGCTTGGTGGGAGGAAGAGCTTGTTCCATCGCCTGCTACCCCGCTGCTCTCACTTTCTCGATCCCGGCCTAGCCACCGGGCCTCCTGCTCGCCTTGCACAGGCCCCGTCCTGATGGGAGCGCTGATCTCCACTGCTGGTTCGCCATAAACAACCTCCGGCACGCTACCAGCTGAACCGCGTTCGGCCTGCGTGGGAGACGTTTCCTGCTCCCCGAGCGGTAAAGAGCTTTGGCGAGGTAACATCTCTGGCACCGGGGGCATGTTCACCGGCATATCCAGCGCGCCAAGCTCCTGTTCATCTTCGGCACATTCTCGAGGAGAAAGGGCCCCATCGTCTTCCTCCTGACTCGAGTAATCAGCCCGCTCTGACCTTAAGTCTCCCCGTTCGGGCGAAAAAGAAGCCGGCCTTACTACTCCCTGCTCTTCCAGATTCACTGACTCTTTCTCCTCTGAGATTCCAGCGTCGTGCCGATCCTCCAACTCAATCTCAATCGGTGCAGGCAAGCTGAACCCGAAGGTGCTTCGCCGTGTAACTGGTTGGAGCGGACCAGATTCCACCGCTTTTGCTTCACCTTCCCCTTCACCTAGTGCAATACAGCAGCGCAACAGTACACAGTTTTTCGGTGCGGTTACAAAGGCGATGACGCTTCATCATTCCCCAATTATGCACGACAAAAACGGAGTGGTTGAAACAGAACACAACGCACACTACAACCTGGACCGTCGTCAACCAAAGCCCACTAAGCCCCGATCGGCATTGCATACTTCGCTGTAGTACTCTGTTCTCGTTACCTCTACCGCTGGCGGACGTCCGTTCCGATCTGGGTGGTTTACGTCCACGCGGTTGCCTGTTGCTATAGACATTCTCGCGAGAATCAAAGGAGACTCCGCAATGCTAACGTTTGTGTGCGTTTCCGTCCCCACTCACCCTCGGAGTCGGAAGTGTCATCAGCCATCTCCATGGAAAGGCCTTCGCCATGATCTTGGTCGATCTTAGGAGCGGCCAGCCACTGAGCTGGTCCCTCGCCCTCCGAAAGGAAAGATGAGCCTTGGCCAGGTGGTGGAGGAGAGTTGAGAGAATCATTGTCGAGCGCATCTACCTGGAGAGCCGAGGTTCCCGTCTGGGGGGGGGGGGGTTCGACAGACACGCAATAGAAGTCCTCGATCACGAGAGACTGCTTGCGAGGTTGGCCTGGATACCGAGGGCTGTCCATCAAACCAGGGGGGGGCTTGCCTTGTGCAACCCCGGAAGATCCTCTGCTGCTCCTGTACGCACCACCGACATTCCGCGCACCAACACGGTCAAATAAATGGCTTCGGAAATCCATCCAGAGACGGGTTGTTTCAACACTTCACTAAGCAAGCACGAAAGTGGTAAAACACGACTGTCTTCCCCAACTGCTGTATGCGCTTCCTAACGAGAAGCAAACCTTTCCCACAACAAGTAGGCTCGTTTGGTAGGTATGGATGCTGCCAGGTACATCGGATTTCTCACCCAGGCAGGAAGGCGTCTTGTTCCACACCATCCAGCAAAGATTTGGGGGCGCTCTGCTTGGCCTCGCCATGAGATACTCGCCCCGCTTGACGCTTGGGGGCGGGTGAGTTGGTGTTGCCAACATCCGCTGGCACCACGGCCGCTGGGCGGACTTCGCTTACCAACGCCCACCACTCTCCCAACAATGCCTGCGCAGCAAAGAAAAAACAAAATGCCCCCCATACCAGATTACAGCAACGGTGAGCGATGAAATACTTCGGGCGGCTGGCCAGAGTGACTCGATGAAACGGAAACAAGCAGGCAGCCAGACCTCAAGGCTAATTACTCAGTCGTCAGAGAGCCCGAATGAAGCAACAGTATAGAGCCCCAAGCATTCATAATAGCGGGCGAACATCACTGGCCAGAATAGCCATATCGACGACAACTGAGGGTAATCATGTGGTACAGGATAAACCTTGCTTATTTGAGACACCACTCCTTTCACAGCAAATCCATACATCTGAAAGCGTTACAAGGATAATACCACGTCAGAAGTTCAGGGTAGGCCCGGATCCGCGAGGCTGCTGCCAACAATACATTTTCACGCACCCAACTCGATTCCAATGCGTGGTGGTACCGCGCGTACCTGGCAGGTACTGAGCGAATCGTGGCACGTATACACGTGCACGATTCCCATCCAGAGCTCAACGGCCGTGAACGCGTCTGAAGGCGCCACCACATGCGAACGGGTCCGCAAGAATGCATCCAGAAAATTGAGCGTAGCGATCTGGGAACGGAGGGAAGGACACGTGAGCAAACGGAGAATCAGAAAAAAGTCCCCGAAAAAGAAGAGATACATATAGTGTTATTAACCTATATATTTCGTCTACGTTCTCCGGCCCTGGAAAGCGACAATGGTTCTCGCCTGAAAATCACGAAGGAGCGACCTTCATTGTACAGTCATGTGAAAATCTCGAAAGGGCGATCCTGAGGATTGAAGCTTTCCGGGGCTCACCTGCAATGAGCGCGTATTACCAACGAACGGCACCTACTGTAGTACCAACGTCAGGCGTGGGCGTTCTTTGCGTGTGCCTGTGCTAGTTATTTGGCTCACTTGCACAAACTGCGATGACTCCAGAAATTCCTGCACAGAGGAGAATTCGGTCTTCATCGGGGACACGACTGGTCCTCTCTGCGCTTCTAGCGCTCCCCGGCATAGCCCAGCATCCTCCTTGCTGTAGTCCGTGACGCGGTTCGACATATGCAGGCCGATATCTCGGATGACCACTTTGAAGCCCTGCCACATCAAACGAATATCTGTGTGAGGTGGCCAAAACACAACAATACCCTGTACACACGTAACCTCAAGATGTCCAACGTGACCAGCACATGGCCAACCGATGATGAGAAAAACAAGGAGGGGCGATACAAATAGCATGCACGATAAAACCGAACGGCGCGTCTGACTGTTGTACCTGCATTGGTGCGCCCGCCACCATGTTGCTCGATACTCTCAGAACGCCTATGGGAAAAACCGCTCGCCCTTCCGTTGGCGGCAAGGTCCCGGTTGTTGGAGCTCCTGAAGCTACTCCAGGAGTACAGGCCGGCATGCGCTTACATCCAGGACTGCGAAAAAGTCGTCACATCAAGGGAAGATGGGCAGCGTTAGTATTCCAAACATACGTCAGCAGAAACTGACGACCACGCCTATGGGTAGGTCGCTTGGGGCCAACTGGGGGTTCTGTACGCACTCGAACTATGAACCTCATGAACCCTATCCTGAATTGTCGAAAGACTCGAAAAGACTCACACCGTTGGCACGGATACCTTGACAATCTGTGTGCTGTCTTCTTGAAAAGGCCAACTCTCAACCTCGCCAAGCTGACCATACATGCAGAGACGAACACGGGATATCCTCGGACTCCAGCAACTGAGAACCTCACCCTTGTGACTGCGGCATGTAGTCAACCACACCATTGAACACCGTGATGAACATCTTCGTCAAGCTCCCGCCACCGGCTTCCCCGATCTCATTCGCGCCGACGCCAGCGCCTGCTTTGCAGCAGTTCGAAGAAACCGCTCGCCCCGCTGGCACATCCCCGACCACCAAGCCCAAGAGGCGAGGCAGCCAGCTGGAGGCCACCGTATGCCTACGGGTAGAGGAGCAGGGAGAGAGCACAGACCGAGAAATGGAGCGCCTGCTTTCCGCTGGTACGAGATACTACTGCATCAAAAAAGAGCGCTGTTCACATGAGGGCAACGCTTTTGCCGCACCTCTTCCTATTGCACAGGAGGCGTCCATACACAAGCTTTCTCGCGCTTGAAATGTTCACGTGGGCGGTCTCGCCTTCTTACCTCAAGGAAACATCATACAGGTTCAGCGTTGCTGTAATAGTTTTGAACGCTGCCCCTGACTCGCTTACTCCTAGCACAAGCTCGGCAGCGATAGGAGAAGTCCCTTTGACCCACTTCGTCTGGTACAGGACAGGAACCTGCGCAGGCCGACGGAAATCCAGAACATAGGAGGCATGTGGAGTGGACGTATTCGTTGCAAATCTCGCCCGGCATCCTTCCCATCTAACCCTCGTGACGGCAGAGTGTTTCCACGCACAGTTCGACGTCAATACACAACTCTCGTCGTACCATAAGCTTTGTCGATATACATGGATGACAAAAACAAGACAAATCCAACCGAACCGCGAACACCCAACGAGAGTGGACCGGGTGAAAGGGTTGCTGTAGAAAAGAAACCGGTATGAAAGCATGTGCACCAGTCTCAAGTCTTCGGTACCGACGATGGACAGGAAGAAAGCACTCACAAATCCAAGTGTAGGCAGGTCTTCCACCATTGGGTAGGCTGACTCGTCTCTGCCAGGCAGGAAAAGCAGCGGCCCATTTAGCCGTCCTTCCCCGGACATGCTAGAACGATCCCCAGGGGAGCAGCGCAAATTTTCATGCACACACACGTCTCCAGCCAACACCGTCACGAGCGGAGCAGGGCTCCCGTCGATCGACTTCTCGCTGCCGCCGCCCGTGCGCAGGCACGCGTCCCCAAGACTTAGGACGAACGAATGCGGGCCAGGATCCTCTGCGAATGCCGCTGCCTCGTGCAACACAACCGTCGCGCCACGCGCCTCCACCACAACCTCCAGGGAATGGACGGGTGCTGCGCCCACATCCTCCACAGGACTCGCGCCGGCCGCTCCTTCCGAGCGAGGGGCGAACCCACCCAAAATGTCGGCCAGAACGACCACTTCCAACCGCGACAACTCCACCGCCAGACGGGGTAGAACGCAAAGCAAGATGCGCGTCGGGGACTCACCCCCCTCGGGGGCGTGGCAATCGCCATCCTGCAGTCCCTCACTAAAGCGTCCGGAGGGGGGGTGGTCGTCCAAGCCGCTCTCCACGCTGACACCAACACGAAAACACGGATCAGTAAGAACACGAGCGAATTTTGCGGTCAATACGGACACATAATATCCCATGAATAACTACCGCGCTCCGGATGGCTGATAGAAAGCGCAGTCTCGCCGGCGACCTACATGCACTCAATTCGAGCCACACCCGCATCTACGGGGGACGTCTTTACACCTCTGTGAGGGACCTATTTTTTCTTTAGGACGGGAGCAAGGGTCACACATGCATGCTGCGGTACGATGCTTCGAGGCGCTACCCACAAGTAGTTTCGCCAGGGTGCCTGTGCTCTTTCGAGCGTAGGCACCAAAGAGAGGTAAATTCCTGTCTACATCGAGAAACACAAAACAAAACAGGCTACGTCGTTTTCAACATCCTCACAGACCTATCGCAACACTCACCCATCATTTGGCTCCCACGTATGCAGGAAATTAAGGCCCGCGTCGCCAGGCCGCGCCAGATCCAGCTGCCCTGCCTTCCTTATGTCTTTCGCAAGGCCATAATCCACCCTCAAGGTGGTTTCAGCCGCGGAACGGAATGCCTCGAGGAAATAGAGCTTCATCAGCCCCCCCCCACCTCCACCATGTCTTGAACCATCGTCGCAGACCAGGATCATTTGGCACGCCACCCGGGTGCATTCTAGCACGGTTTGTTGCGTTCTTGATGCACCAAAGGCAAGTCGAACCTCGACGCCTTCAACCTCCACCACAAGCATCGGTGCCGCGTCCCCGGGGACCTCTTCCCGCGGGGCCCACCCAACGGGGCTGGAACCTTTCTGAACGCTTCTTATCAGAGCAGCGTGTGCGTCTGATGAGCAAGTGCTCGGGTCTGCCGGGACCCGAACCGTCAGCTTAGGCACCGCCACAGCCACTACAACGCGCGGGTCGCGAGTGCTACCACTCGACGGCACACCCACGCCCTGACCATTCCCGCCACCTCCATTGGTGTCGTCGGCCCGCTCTGCCCGTAGTTCGACCTGCACCAGGAAAAGGCTAAGACAGCTCACAAGTCGTGGGTCCAGGACCGCAGCCACCTCCAGGCAACGGACTTCGAGGGCAACATCCTCGCTATCGGCTCCATTCTTCTCTCCTAGTGGTTCGCCTCCTTCTCCCATGGTGCAACTTATCTGCACAGAAGGGGACGAATCAGCTGCGCCCAAGACTTCCACCACCCGCACGCACGAGTCATTCCCGTCTTTCCAGTCGGTGAGGTAGGTGCCAACCTCGGACACTGAATGCATCCAACTCCCAGCGCAATGCAGCGTCTGGCTCAATCGCCTCAACTGGAGGCGCACGTAGCGCGCGCTTGTGCTTGCGCTGGCAGTACTCCCCCCCAGAGGGCCCGTCGACTCTTGGGGGAGCAGCAGCGTGATGTCGAGGCCAGTCATGCGCATACGGAACTTCATCGAACCGTGCCGGTCTGCTCGCGCCCCTCCTCCCCCGTTGCCGTCGTCGCTTCCTTCCTCGCAGTCGTAAAAAACGTCGCTTTGCCCCAACGACAAGTATGAGCCCGCACCGAAGACTCCCTGGCCGTAGCCTTCAGCCTCCGTCAGCCGAGCACGTGCCTCTGCATACTGTCTCAGACGCGCATGTCGCGGAGGGGGTACGCAGCACTTGTTGGTTGATGACTGGGGACACGCGCTGGGCTAGGTACATGACGCACAGCAGCATTAGCGTACAATAAGTTCTTAACATGATGCATGCAGTTGATCTACCAAATGTTCAACAACCCACCTGCTCGAGCAGGCCCGAGAGGGTGTCGAAGTTCAGCTCTCCTGAACCATTGTCGTTGTCGCCCTCGAAGTACCAGAAATCTTCGCGGAAAAGAGGCTTGACCGGCTTAGTTGCAACGGCAGTGTCCAACACTTCTGTGACAACATCCTCCGCAGGTTGTTCGATACGGGCAAGGTACGCAGATGATAGCGCATGCAAACCTGTGCACTCGTCCATGCCCAGTGTGATGTCTGCGTGACGTAGTGAGACATCCACGTCCAACACCACGTCTGCCGGCGCTGATCCTAGCTGCGGCTTTCTGCCCTGCTTGATCAAGACGCATCCCGTACCACCAATCCTGACCACTTCAAGCTTCTGTCCTCGTTGACCGCTCTGAAACTCGGCAACCACCTGACCAAGAGTCAAGCGCTGGGGAAAAAAGAGCAAAAAAAGAGTAGGTGAAAAAGAGCGCAGTAAGTCTCTTGTCCAACGATGACCCGTGTCGGTGTAAAAACTTCCCCACTTAACAGGACTTCGTATAGCCGCTTCGAAACACAGCAAAATGGAGCACTTCTTGTTCATCTGTGAACCTATGGGAGGAAGCGTCACGAGGCATGCCGGTGCTGCGGCAGAATATCAACACCCACGAACGATGAGTATGAACGGCATTTGGGGGAGAATTCTGACGGCAGCACCCTCCCTGCTTGCACTCTTTCACGTTCAGGTGCTTGCGCACCATTCGCCGTAATCTGATGCATGATTCACGGAGAGCAACGAACCCATCAAACGATGCCGCCATGCATGCTGTTCACGACCTTGTGAGCTTTCTACAAACCTACATACTCACTTTGTGCACAACAGCTGCTGTTCCACCGTTCAATTTGCCAGGCCCTTCGGCCCGGTTAACTCCTGTAGATGCGCTCTGGTCGGCAATAAACGACGACACCTCGGGTGTCTCGTCGCACCACTTGAGCGAGCTACATCGCAACTTCAAACACGGCGTGCTGTTTCTACCTCCGCCGCTGCTGGGCTGTCCCGTATGACCACGTTCCGCCTGGGCTTCTGCCGTGATTCTCACAGTCAGGTCGCTCACAACAACCTTGACCTTGGACGTGATCTGCTCGATCCACTTGGCCAGAAAGTCCAAGCGCTCGCCCGACTCGCCGAAGCCAAATTGATCCTGGTCGGCTAGCGGACTCTGCGTTGCATCCGTTCCCGGCCGTGCTGCCCCTGCCGCTAAACCCTCTCGCCGAGCCTTTGTTGCCGCAGCGTTTGCTTGTCCAGACTCTTGCGCTTCAGCATCGACGCTAGCACCCGGGGGGCTTGCCGTGATTGCCTCCGAGAGAGGAGGTGATACCTCAATCTGGACATCGTCCAGGAAGATGGCCAGGCTTTCCGTGAGCAGCTTGCTGTACGAGATCTCTATTCGTAACGTCCCGACATGAGCATTTGCTAGGCGAAACGACAGGCCCGGCGGCAGAAGTTCTTGCAGAGCGACCACGTTAATCTTCAGGTCCGTGAGCTCAACCCGGCCAGCTCCGAGCTGTACATCGAGTTGCTGCGAATGATAAAGGCGGTGGCGTACAGCGGCTTTTGGGTGAGAGAGAAAAGACACTGTTGTCAACGTCAATCATGTCTGTTGCCACTATCACTCCACCAGGCCCGTTCTTGTGTGAGCGTGGTGGTTCTTTGGTCAGAATCAACCGCGCTAAACAATCTGGTCAGGATCAACCGCGCTAATCGCTATCGGCCGACCAACTTTAAGACGCTGGTCTTGCGGGGCAACAGCTAACCTGCGGGTCCCCGTGACTGCGCGCAAATTCAACTGCGTTAATCACGCGTGAAATCTTGAAGTACAACCGACCGCGCAACCAGCAACTATACCAGCCTTGACGGGGAAAGAAAAAAAAGAAGCGATGAAACATGTGTGTGTGTTCGCAACAGCACCAGCACCAGCACCCGCGACGTGTCGGGTGCTGCTGCGGATAATTCGATAATCAGCGAAGCGGCAGTCTTCACAACAGAATAAAACACCCGCGGGGCGAAAAACGATCAGTAAACGCCAAGCTCGGAATTGTCTGCGTCCACTTGGGGGCAACAGCAGCAGTGGTATCGCAGATTCCACTTAAATTCAACTGAACAAACTCCATGTAAGCAGCTCCTGTAGTCTCAAATCCCCCGCGGCAAGAGCAAGTTACTGCTGTTAGCTGTTCAGAGTGTTCCCACCTCCAGGGCGATGTCATCGTCAAGGAATCGGCCTACCAGCCGCTTGAGCACAAATCTGTACAGCTTCTTGAGAGTAGGGTTCGTCAATCTTCGGAAGATGTCCTGCACACGAGACAAAGGAGAGAGGTAGCAAAGCACCAGGCAGAGAGAGAGGGGGGGCTGTTTAGCTTCAACAAGACACGTATGTGCGCCAGGTGTACATATGCCGCATCAGTACTCCGCAATGTTCACAAGCGCTTTCAAATATATATGACCATTGGCAGGGAAAACCACCAACGGCCACCACAGTAGCCACTCACCATGCCTCACACCCACGACGAAGTATGTCGGCGGCGCGCGTGGCAAGAGAAGCGTCCCCCCTCGCCCACCGCGCTTGCTTCTGCTGAATACTTTCCGTTCGAGCAACGCGGCGCGACTTTCTCTGATTTTTGTTGTGGGAGTACTGCTGCAGGATACCATCACTCCTCACGTCGCCCCCGTGTTAATCGCGCCGCATCCACCAGACGTGTCTCGGCATGTCCCACGATCCCACCACACCTGCTCCTTCCCTCTCCTCCCTCCTTGTTTTTTCTTCTCCTCCTTGCTCGCGGCCGAGAACAGACGGATAATACGAACGGTACGGGAAAGGCAGGAAACAGAAGAAAAGAGGTGAGGCGACGGCCGGCACGAAGAGATCCCCGGCTATGAAATGCTGCTTGGTTAATATCGCACGATCCATTTTCGCTCCTCTACATGCGTAGGATTGCGAATTGCGGCTCTCCTGTCGTTGTTGGTACTGGAGCGCACGATGCTTTCGACTGCCGTGTTTTGGAGGAATCCTTCATCCGCCGAGGCTGCGGCTGGTGATTCATCGTAAGAACGAATGTACACCAATCACGATTCGGCGACACGATCGACCACTCTGCCACCTTCAAGGCCAGCAGCAGTAGATATTTAGATCGGGCATAAGTACGATTACGGTGGGCCCATGCCGCTAAATGCCCTCGCACACCTTCGCTTGAGCCAAAGCAGGAACCAGGAAGCGGTCCAGATGGCAAGAGGGGGATTTTCGACTCACGTTGTCTATACATGTGGTTCGTGAACCTCGTTTTGGTGTCGAGAATTACAGGCCGCCTTGACACGAACGATTACGATTTGCTTCACTTATTGTATAGGTTCGTCTGCCGTATTATCTGCCGCCGTACGGGCATCGGTATATCGTGCTGCATGCAGATCATACGACTTGGACCCCAAGTTTCGTTTGCACCGGTTCATGCTGGACGAACGATTGCATATAGTACTCTCTTCGGCCATCTTTGACAGAAGACTGAAACCGTTTACAGGCGCCTGCTTATTTCGCCTCGTGAGTCGTTCCAGTCGGCAGCAGTTGTGCACGAAGTACAACTGTAGTTTTTCTACTATTGTGTTGAACCTGGCGGCCGCGCGTGTTTGTCACGCTGACGCTGCAGACTTTCCCTGGGGTACGGGGGAAAAGCAAAACACCGGATGCCCCTTCTTAGGCCTTTGCCTCTGCCAGGTGCAGCTGGTCCAAGAACGGCTGGAAGCGACGGCTCTCTTGGAGTGCGCTGACTGTTGTAAGTAAGGCCAAGGCAAAGATACGGGGGGAAGGTCGACTCCCGCACGTACAGGGCTCCCGACTTCGGGTAACAAGGGCAAGCACTGGAGTCACTGCGCGTGACTGCATTGGCTTACGTGTTGATTTTAGCTCTGGTTGCTCCAGGCTGCCTCGTTATCTGTCTAATCTTTTTGAGCCGTGTCTCGTATTGTGCCGTACATGTAAATAGTATAGACGATGTGTCTCGTGACCCGGAGTCTTTGACCGTGAACCCAGATCAAGCACACGTTTGGTGCGTAAATTCTTCGTAGCAACAGCTAAATTTTTGGCAACGCGTGTTCTTGCAGCTGTAGCCCGGGGATAGCCCCGGCCTCGTCTGAATCCCGCTTCATTTCCCCCCTACCTTCGCCTCGAGGGGAGTTAGTCTGGCTGAGTGACAGATGGTGAAGAGGGTCAGAAGAGCGAGAGAGAAACGAAACGTAACACGGGAGCAATGAGACCGATAGAGGAAGCAAAGGACAAATGGATCTCGGACTCGTGCTACCACGAGCGATTCTGATGTGCGGGGAAACTGGACCTTGTCGCACTGGTTCTCAAAGGCTCTGCATCTCGCTCGTCCTCCACACATCCATTAGACTCAACAGGCGCGGGAGAGTACAATTGAGCCAAAGGCCGATCACAGCCAAGGCCGCGATACACCGAGGGAGGGCATGTATATAACGCATACCGCGTCTCCCCCCGCCGCAGATCGGCGGCAGGCCAATAAAAGAAGCGGTATTTCAAGACCCGACGAAGAAAAATCTGCCGCGTAGGTAGCTTTCAGCGTTGCATCTACTCCGCACCATGCTGCACGCAACAACTCTACGCACCACTGGCTCGTCGCCAAGCCGTCAACTGAGCTTCGGGAGTATTGGCCGTGCGAAGTTTCCATAGGGTTCTATTCTGCTTCTTGTCGACTCACGCGACCATACCGGCCAACTCACACCACATGTCCCCTCCACTCATTGTAGTGGCAAGACCAACGCCAACTCACACCACATGTCCCCTCCACTCATTGTAGTGGCAAGACCAACGCCAACTCACACCACATGTCCCCTCCACTCATTGTAGTGGCAAGACCAACCAAGTGAGACGCCGCGCCTCACCCGCTGCATCACCTCTACCCTAACACGCGCAAATGTGGCCGACTTCTTCCTTTCACAGATCGCGCCACCGCTTTAGAACCTCTCATCATGCCCAAAGGCTCGGTTCCTAGTTGCTCTGTGGGGGTAACCCAAACTTGCGCGCTTTTGGTGCAGGATTCTTAAGTGCGCACCTGTTCTCATGGACAAGGTTTTTCCAGTGTTTTCTTTCGAGCCTGAAGTCTCAATTTCCGGGTCCTTCAGTGGTGGTGCGGTCTGCAGCGCGCGCATGCACTCTCTCTGGCGCAATCGCACTCTCTACAACAAACAGGTTACACTGACAAGATTGTTCACACTGCAAGTACCTGTGACCATCAGTACTGTACCAAAACAGGGGTAATTTGACACGCACGCCATAGACACGAGCTTGCTTGTTTGCCACTCCGTAATTCGGCAGGAAGCCGTTGAAATCACACCGCAGACAACACGTACGGGCCGGTGTTGCCCTCGACACATGATAAATGTATCTCGAGTGTTGCGTGCGTCATACGCTTTCTTTGGGCATCAGGTGGTCGTGCGCTGGTCCTGCTTGCGTCTTGAGCTCCGCAGGCTTGGTGTTGTACCCGTAGGTCGCCGACACGACCTTGACAACAAGTAGATATCCGTTCGCACGGGGTGGGGGCAACACCAGCTGAGCAATGTCTTTATCTGCGAGACCGCAAAGGTCGCTCGCCAGGCTGCCTGCACGCATTCGTATGAAAGCTTGCGAATCCTATGCATCTGCCCCCTGCACTTGCAATCGCTTTAGCAATCGAAGCATATTAAAACAAACTAGTGGTGCCAGGGTGCTGGGGTCGAACGGCCGACATGGCATGCAGACAAAGACCAGAAAAAAAAGGACGCGACACAGAAAGCAACGGCGCTGCAACTCGAAGGTTGCAAAGTTCACCACTAGAAACGCTGCAACTCTCTGGACAACAGTGATGTATCGCCGCAGCGCTGAACCGCGGTTATTCCACGACAAGTCAACGGTACCGCCTGCATCTGAGCGTTCAAGAAGAACTTGTCAGACGTGGTGCGGCGCGGCAAGCAACACAACAAATAGCGACAAGCCATGCAGGCTCTCACCAGCAGCGCCCCCACGGCGAAACCCTGCGACACCTTCATGCCGAGCAAGGCGATTGATAGGAAGCAGGAGAGGACGATGGAGATGCTCGTGGCAAAGCACTTCACCTGTGAGTGTTAGGGAGGGGGGGGGGGTGAGCTAACAATACCCAGACACACAAGTAGGTATGCCTTGGAGAACGAGTCTACAGCTACATGCCATGCGACTATATTCTAAAAAGCGGCTGAAACTGATCACTGGAGGTGCATAGTCCGGCTCGCCCGCGCACGGACTCCTAAAACCTACTGCCCTCCGCGACGTGGACAGGGAGCGCTCTCTCCTTCTCAATGCCGCTGCCATGTGCTCGAGACTCCAAAGAAGTTTACTACTCCATAATTCAGTATTGTAAGATTCAATTCTGGCGCCCAATTGCTGCGGTACAGCACTGCTGCCGTATCACTACGCTTCGAGCCTCACCACGTTGTCCGCGTACTTGACGACCATGGCCACCGCAAGACCCCCCAGCGAGTGTAACGAAATGCACAGCCACACCATGGGGCTGTACCCCGAGAAGAACCCGCGAGCCATGACCTCCGCTCCGTCGTTGACCACCACGGCCAGGACGCCGAGCAACAAACTGAAAGACCCGAGCTGGATGTTTCGCATCCACAGAGACGCGGCGGGACCCTCCTTGTTGTTCGAGCCCCCCGTCTGGAACAAACACCCCACGATAACGACGGGACATGGAGCTAAGCAGTAAGCGAGCCAGCATTTGCGTCACGAAATAATAGGTACGGGTGCTGAGCGCGTTTTAGAGGATATGACCCTCGTATCTTGGCGGAGCCAGCAGCGATTGTGTTTGTCATCCGAGCTATCCATGACCGTGTACATTACGAGTCGCGTTTTGGGCGGGTAGACTAAGCACGGGAGCCCAAGGGCTCAGGCAGCACGGTGATGCGGGGATTTAGTTATGGGGTCCAAGCTCCGGGAACAACGATCCAAACCCGCAGCTAAGTGAAAGAATGTTCCGATAAAACATCATGAAACCCCAACGATACCTCAACACGACGAGAAAGCGTGCGTTGGCCGAACGTAGGCAAGTCGGAAATGTCAGAGATCGGTTGATTCCCCCCGTCTAGATAGTTTTTCCCGGTGAACGACTCTGCAGGTCTGTAGTAACCGTCCACTAAGATATTAGGACTACCGACAGCGTCTCGTAAAACCGCGGGGCATTGGCACGCGGAAAGCTTACAAGGAGGACACAAAGCGTTTAGCGCCGCGAGGCCCAGCAAGATGGACGAGAGGGGGACAACCAAACAAATGTTAGTTTTTCCCGGCGAACGACTCTGCAGGTCTGTAGTAACCGCCCACTAAGCTATTAGGAATACCGACAGTGTCTCGTAAAACCGCGGGGCATTGGCACGCGGAAAGCTTACAAAGAGGACACGAAGCGTTTAGCGTCGCGAGGCCCAGCAAGATGGACAGTAGGGGGACAACCAAACAAACCCGAGGGTTTTGGGCCTCATACAACCCGCGCCCTTTACCTTGATCATGAGCTCGAAGAACACTCCGGCTAGGCCTGAGCAAACGCAGACCATCACCGCGCTGGCAAACCCTATCAAGGAATTCGACGTTGTCGCGTTGCTGACCTGGGAAACAAACGTAAACAGCGCCAACACACACGACGTCATTTGCAAGGGTCGAGCATGAACCAAACCTGCGTCATCTCGGCAGGGCGCTTGCTGGACACCTGCTCCGCAGGAATGTTTAGCGTCAGGCTGTTGGTTCCTGAATCCAGATACTGCCGGCATCACTTGCGTCAGGTCCGATGCGCATTTCCTCTGCAATCCAGCAGCAAAGAACATTTCTTACATACATAACCCCGGTGCACCGGCCAAACTCGATCACTGATACGCCAAGGCCTCACAGGCACCACGTCTGCGGTATACAGTACCCCTCATCGCGTACCTTGCCGGCCGAATCGGACCCAGATGTCTGAACCAAACCCACTCCACACGTGAGAACTGCTAGCGATACCCATTGCCTGCTGGACAGAGATTTTCCAAGGATGATGACGGACAACAGGGCCGTGATGGGGATCTTGCTCTGGCAGATGATCTGGTAGGTGGGCCCATCCAGGCTGTTCGTTGCCACGTACGCGAGGTTATTCTGCAGCGGCGTCCCGGTTCACCGGGCGGCAGGCGCGAAACAATGCTTAACGAAAAAGGCTTATACCTGCCCAACCAAGCGGTCACGAGGGCGAACAAAGCCTACCCTTCCCCACAACTTCGACTTGGGAGTCCAACGCGACAGGAGCTATGGCGAGCCTACGAAACGACCGTGATCACCCGTCTGGACGCCTTGAATTTCGACTTTTTCGCGAGCGACAACAGGAGCATACGCCGACAGGTCGTACATCCTCTCTGCACCACTGCTGGACTGCCAGCCGCAGGCTGCGGGCGAAAGGGGACGGACATCCATCGAACATCACAGATTTCTATCCGTTCAACGTATCGCTTCTTCTCCCGCCATCGAGGCAGACATCACCTGGCGACTTGTTCATCACCACCCTCACCTGAATAGTGTACAGAAGAGCGGGAACCCCCATCTTGAAGTACTGCACCGGGTTGCCAACGGTGTTTACTCGAACGCTGTTGATGACGGCACTCACTGAGCCCTCCGTCTGGACAGCCGCCGTCGACGTCATACCAGCATTGTCGCAGAGGGAGCTTGTTCAGGCTTGGGGGCTTATCGGCATTTGTGTCAAATTCATGTTGTTCCGCAGATTCTTGCAAGGTCAAACGCGCTTTGTGCCCTTGTTTGCGCGCAACAGTTGACTTTGACTCGCTTACGCTGGTACCAGATAAGAGGTAGGTATGCATGTACACGAGCGTTTCGTACCGGCAACGTTGCAGCGCATAGTAAACAAGAACAACTCAACGGCGGTTTGATTGCCGAGGTTCTCCAAGTGACAGCATGTATGGTGCCGTAGCTGTGTCTCGGCCACTCCCTTGTACACCTTACCAACAAAATCAATGTATAATACAAGGCAGTGGAGCTGATCGATTCGCCAGGCCTCCCTTAGCATCAGCGAGCACAGCACAACAATGAAAAGCATAGCACGAACAGCATCGTCCAAATTAACAAGCACAAAGGCTAGGATGCGGACTCTCCCATATGAAAAAAATCAAGCGGTACCCCAACCAGAAGATGGGGGGGAACAACGCCGCCTTTCTCCTTCCATTTCCAACGACTCGGAACGTTGCTCTGACCTTAAACTGCATCGCGAGAGCCACCGCGACCTTGACCATCTCGGCCATCACTACGGCGGTGGTAGATATGTACATATCGGCTTGTTTGCCGGACACGCGCGTGTAGCGCATCACCATCGCCAGCGCTGAGTTCTGCAGGACGAGCGTCGTGAGTGCAGCTCCCTGTGAAGCGAAAGCAGCCAAGGAAGGGCGAGGGGCACACAACCTCAGGCATCGCCTGGAGTGGGCGCTTGGTCTGCGTGCGATTCTCTAGCATGCTCCAGCGTCGAGTACGAATGGTGAACCCGCAGCACAGCTTGCGCCCGCGCTGAAGAACTTACCAGACGCACTTCGGAATTTGGGCCTCGAATATATCAAACCCTACAGACCTTGAGCATTATTTTTTGTGAGCCCAGTAAGGAATCCCTACTCGAAAACCTACTAAAGAATACAGCATCATTTTGTGAGCCCGGATAAGAACCCCTACACAAAAACAACTATATAGCGGCCATTTCTAGCATAATTATAGGTTCCTACGTGGTGGCGCGTTCTGTAGTAAACAGGAAACATTCGCCTCTGGCGGGTTTGATGCAGCACAGCGAAACCATCAACAACACGGTCTTGGAAACGTGGTGTGAACACAAGGTTAGCAGCAGAGGAGCAAACACAAACATCCGGCAATCATCGCAAGTGTACTGCTGTCACAGAGAGACGCGATACGCATTCCTATCGGACAGCCAGATATAACGATATAACAACTGGCTCTATATCGTCTAGGGTTAGGGTTCGCTGGACAAAAAAATGTCAATGGATGCATAGGGTTAGCCGTCACACTACCTGTGTATATACGATTCCCCGACCAGCATACAGCGAACTCTCCCCTGTGGGAAGCAGGCTCTACAAGACAATTTGGTGGCCATCGTGGGTGTCTGACTGTCTGTGTGTTACGCTGGGAAGGTGTAGAAGGACTATGTTGGCGTTGGGTAGTCACCCCTGTGTTTTTTCTGCACTACTATTCCCATCGCGTGCCCGATGTTGGAAGTTGCTTGTTGACTTGAATTTGTATGAATGAATGAAATTTTGCTGGGTTCCCTTGCGTGCGGGCAGAGAGGAGGAAAAACAAACGAAAAAGGACTTGTGCTACACAGACGAGCCCATTGGTACGCGTGTAACGGAAAAGAAAACAGAGGGTTATTGCGCAGCAACCAAGGCGGTCTCGCCTTTACACTGCTTCTGCCCTGCCTGTCTGTCTCTTCCTCTCTTCCTCTCTCTCTCTCTCTCTCCTCTCCCTCTCTGTCTTTTTGTATGTACGGGTCTTATCTGGTGTACAGTAATGTGGTTGCGCACAACTTGTGCCTCGTCCCGCCGTGTGCTCGAGTCACACCTTGGCCTGTGTTTTTTTCTCCACAGGCGAAAGGCAGGCGGCCGGGCCACCCTTGGTTGGTAGTAACAACCTTCCGTTGTTGCGTCCCTAAAACTGAAAATCGAAGAATACTGCTGCTGTACACCTACATACTCCGGAGTATTTTCCAACTTCCCTCTCACTGCTGCTGCTGTCAAGGTGCTTTGCCTTCGATTGTTGAAGCGAGAGGGATTCAGCAGTCCCTTCCCACGTACGATGTTGATTCTCTCACGAATACATCGCTTTCCACCACACAGAATTTCAAATGGTTCCCTCCCGAGAGAGGTTGAAACCCTCAAATCTGGTGCCATCCACAGCAGCGTACCGTCGAAGGTGTACAGCACGGGCCCGCAGTTAAGCAAAAATCTGTTCAGAAAAATAGGCTCAAATTTTTACCGAAAATAAGAAATGGCTAAGAAACACACCTCAACCTCGGCCACAACACAAGAAACGTCCCAATAAGAAACATGATGGTGCGATACCCCCACGACATTGTAAGAAACAAGGGGTAGCTGAAGGAGCGTGCCCAATAAGAAACGTCCCACCGCTGCTCCTTCCGTGTTCCCACCCCCCTACCTAGCTGAACAGTGCATTTTTTTTGGGGAGAGAGTGGTCATTATTTCGCCACACCAATGGCCACACCGAGCTTTCTTTCTAGTTAAGCGGCATGACGACCATTCGTTGTGTTGTATTATTTAGCCAAATAAGAAACTATACGTGAGAAGTAGATTGGGAGGATGCGACGTTCCAAAGGCATAGGGTTAGGGTTAGGGTTAGGGTAAGGGATAGGGTTAGGGTTAGGGTTAGGGTTAGGGTTAGGGTTAGGGTTAGGGTTAGGGTTAGGGTTAGGGTTAGGGTTAGGGTTAGGGTTAGAGTTAGGGTTAGGTTAGGGTTAGGTTACCTAACCCTGAGCGTTTGCAGTAATTGTGGGTGTACCGGAAATCGGACAAGAGCCGCGTAAGATGGCATCCCATGGATGCTGCAGGTGATCATGTCTCGGTGGGGAGTGCACCAGTGAGCGAAGTGTTTGGTGGTGCGGCCGTTGCTATCGGGACCGGTTGAATGGCATGAAGAGAGATGGACGAAACAGCCAGAGCACCCAGGAACACTGCATGTGGATTGGGGGGCGAGGCGCCGACGCCACCTGACCCGTTGGGCACGGTGCGCGCGATGGTGGATGAAGTCCTCGGTCGAGGCGAGATCCTTTGCTGGCAGGACGTCGCCGATTGGCTAGCTGCTGAATGCGCGAAGGTCGGTTGTATGGAGGATCTACAAGGGAGATACCCAAAGAAAACTCGTCCAGGACTTGTTTACCAGCATGGCCGCGGAGCCCGCGAGCACTTCACGATTAGTCTAGTTGGAGTAGATGGAGCAAAGGGAGACGCACGCGAGCGATAATTTTCCTCTTCGGAACTCCCTTCGGGACGAGCATCCAACCCGAACGCAGAAAAGGCGGGGTCTCTCGAGTCGATGCTTAGGGCTAGTCGAGAAGGGCAAGGAGGACGCAGACGCTAGGATATACGTCGTGCGGGCAGCTGGTACAATTGTTCGAGCCGATGCGGAGAGTGAGCCTCGAGGAAGCAGCAGGAATCGCACGGAGTGGAACAGAACGGCGTTGAGGTGGGGACCCACGAGTCACCTACGAGCAACGACTTTTCCTCCGTCGAGGACGCGGAATCGAAGAACGCAGAGCTGGAGGACGCCGAGTCGGACGAAAACGGCAACGGTTCGGTCGGCGCACTCGACGATTTGATGAAGTGGGATTCGGCCGAATCTACATAGCTCCAGCGGTGAGGAATCTGACGGGTTGAGCGACAAGGGCGTCGACCCGATGTGGAGTGACGCAGACACAAATGATGGTGTTGCGGACATCGTTAAAGACGCCTGGAACCGAGATCTGGCTACTTGTTCAGGCGGGTGCATGTAGCATGCCTTGAGGGACTTGGCTCGGGGTTCGGGGTGTCGTGACGGGCATTCTTGCACGTCAGATCTCCACATCGTAACGAAAGACCGATAAGCGGCGCTGCCTTTCTCTTGCTCTAGTCTCTTATGGGGTGCATGTGATCTGATTTATTCTAACCCATGTTGCCAATGCCATATATTGCGCGTCGTTCTTGGTGGTTCATCAGGTCCGTGCTTCAATTGCGTTTCGTTGGGTGCTTGCGGCAAATACGACGACCAGGGGTGGCAGATTATCAGTCGTAGGAGCAGAAGCCGTACGCTGAACAGCCGGCTAGATTACGCGTTTTCGCCCGACCAATTTTCGTACCTAGGTGCTCAGGGAGACGGACGGGCGGAGGAGGCTTCTTTTTTTCGACCACGCTGGGTGTCCGTGTTTGTTGGCATGGCATTTTCTTCTTCGCGTTTTTTCGGCAAACTGCCTGGAACCTATCGGGGCGAGGGCGTGTCGGGCCCGTGTCGTTTGCACTGGCGATAAACATGTTTTTTGTTGTATCATTCTGTTCGGGCATGCATGTTTCTTGACGAACTTGGTATCATCTTGGTGTTGGCACCTCGAGGGAGCTTGTTTCTTACTATATTGAACGAAGTCATTTCCAGAGCCAAGTGGACGATCAAAGGCGGAGGCGACTGCTGCCCGCTCTCTTGTTTGCTCGTGTTATTGTCGCAGAGAGAGGGTCGATTTGTTTTCGAGTTCATGCTCCCACCGTTGCTTGCTCCAGCTTTACTTCTGGCGCAGCTATTCGGACCAAATAAATAAACTTGTGTAAATAAACTTGTGCGGCAAGAAGGGCAGCCCTTGGAGATAGATAGGTTTGGGCAACTCGGGGCCCCCGGGGTTGCGTGCAGTGCTCGTGTGTAAGCATTTCCTCGCGTTTTCGACACACCGAATGCTAGTGCGTATTCATACTTTGAGAGTAAATACATGTACTTAAAGGTGCAGATAGGCCGGCCGTTGCCTGCGTGCGACATTAGATAGCAGAAAGCTATTAGTGACCAAACTCACTGTTAGTGTAGCTGCCGTGGTATTGTCGCTACTCCACCCTTGTATGTTTTTCTTCGGAAATCAGGAGAGTTGTGCTGCTGGGTGGGTGAGAGTCCCGAGTCAACAGGCACAAGCAGCGTGTGCGGTGCAACAACAACAGCAGCAGGAGAGGGGGGCACCCCAACAACAATTTCAGTTCAAACCTAGCTGACGCCATTGAAGAGTACTCCACCTGCAGTTCGTATTGCAGAACAATTCCAAGTGATGTATATACAACCACAAGATCAACAGCTAGCATGATCAAACTCGGTGTAGCCAGCACCGCCGTGGCAGGGCATAAGCACGGCGGTGCCTGTATGCGAACGCAAGTTTTCAATTTCATCCGTGCCTATCTCTCGACCCTCTGCACTAATCAAGTTGAATTCTTGTGCAATATACTCTCTGGCGCCCAGTTCGTCTTCCCTCAAATATTCCCGGCGATTGATTAAGTGGTGGGCGCGTTCTCGTGCTTAGTCTCTTTGGCGGGTGCACAGCAGTGGGGTTGCGCCGCCTAGATACGAGTAGCACATTTTTTTGCGGTCGGGGCCGCGGGTTGCGCCGCCAAATTTGAAGCCTACAGATGACGGAATTTTGTAAATCTTGGTTCCCTAGATAGCTGTTGGAATAGTCTACCGCTGTGAGCCTTTTGCCTTGGGTGGATGTACGCCTGTCGCGCTGCTCTTCTGTGTAAACCGATAGTTCTTGTTCCTCCGCCATGTTTTTTTTTCAGCCGTGCAGCACTGGTTGGAAACACGGGCAGCTGAGAACATGATGTGCGTACGGAGGAGCAACGGTGCGCACAAACCAACGGAGGAGAAAACAAACGAAACATACAGCCAACTTTGCTACGCCTATTGAAGGGTCTCGTGACACCGTTGCATGCCGAGGAACGCTGGCAAAGATCCGTGTGAGCTGGGCAAAATGTGGGGGGACGGGTAGACTGTAAACAACAGACGAAGAGCGAAGGGTTCCGTCTGTTGTTCTTGTGAGAGAGCATACCTTGAGTAGACCATCGCTCCCTCCCACTCCCAGCGCCTTTCCAGTGTGTACGGAATGGCTCATGGCAGGCACCCTAGCTCTACCGTTTCGGTCTTGTGCGTCGTACCGCCGCATTCAAGCTAACCCAGCAGCAAGCCATGCACAAGCCCAGGCACGTGTCCTCACTCAGGGCGGTTCCGGGGGGCACCGTGAAATCAATTAGGGTTGCGATGGTTCTGTCGTATGCATGCCGTGGGCTTTGCCACGCTTTGGCCGGCCAACACCCGGCCTTGGCAAGGAGAGAGACAGAGAAGATCAAGGAGAGCAAGGCGGACGGGCTTACAGCATGGTACGTGACACCCTTCTTAATCAGTCGGGAATAACGTTGAGAGAAGCTGCTAGGATGTTCCGCTGCAATGTGCGCGCACGCGACGGGGGATCAAGGACAATTTTCAAATTTCAAAACCTCGCGCGCAGCACTTGAATCGCTCGTGCTTGTGGGTTTCGATTATGTCAACACCCAACACAGGCGGAGTCGGACGGGTCATCGTCCGAGATGAGCGACGATGCTCTACAGAAGCTTGTCTCTCGCCTGGTGGAAGTAGGAGGAGAGCTTGGAGGAGAGGATGCGGACACTACTGCGGAACCTCAGGTGTGCAACCTGCAACAATGCCAACACACCCGAGTTCGTCAAAAGGTTTTCAGTCTACAGCAGTGTACTGTAGTCCCCGTTTGCTGCCGTGCGCGGAATCATGCCGCTTTTTTGTTGCCGCACCACTGGAACGGTTGTGGGACACGAGGAACAGGCGTGTCGTGACTGCACCGACAGTGCCGAGAGCACTAACAGCAGCTCTCCCATATAGGTCCACTTCAACACCTGCCTCCTCCTGCTCGCTGTCTGCTGCTGCTGAACTCATTTCCGCGCGCCGCGATCTTTTCGCTTTGTTGTGTTTGTCGACCTTGCAGAGTCCGGGGCACGCTCGAGCGCTAATTATGGGTGCAACGTCTGCACAAGCCGCTGCCCCAAGCGATTGCACTGACAGCTCTGGTGAGAGAAGTACTCCTGTGAAGTGAATCGTGCATAGCTCTCGCCACAAGGCCGTGATGCAACTCTGTGGAATCATTTAGTTAATTCCGTAGTTCGTATCTTGTTCCATGTAGGTTCGGCACCAAACACGACACGGACGGCGACTTGCCCAAGGTGTGCAGCGGGCCGCCTCCGTGCTCTACAGTCAGCGCAGGCATTCTCTCTTGGCACGCGTAGGGCCCCATTGTTAGCCAGCGGCTGCCGTCGAATTGTCCCCTGTATTAAATACTGCCGTCTGCTGCTTTGACGTGACCGGGCTTGTACCGTAGGTTGCGTACGGTTCCACACACCCCTGGAACGATTTCCAAAGCTTAATTACTCCACGACGAAGGGGATGCTGAAATCAAAGGAAACGTTGTTGGATAGCTCTCGACAAGACGGTTCCAACGCCTCCCGCCATTTTCGGCACCTTCACTGCTTTTCCTGCCGAATAATCGAACTTTGAAAATCGGGCCAGGGGGTGTGATACCTTATGCAACCTACCCTATACACTCTCCCTTCTTCCCCTCGCTGCCTCGGCAAGGTTTTGCTTAGGCATGACCCAAAGCGAGGGGGGGGGTCTTTCTAGCGAGCAGGGCTAGACTCATCCTCAAGGGACCGATACCTTCTTGCTACGGCGCACCCGCCGCAAGGCGTGCGTAGTGGTGGAGTTGGGTCGGCACTGGTGCGTCAGGTACAAAGGTGCAGATGCGCGGGCCTCGAGGCCGTCGGTGCAGGCTGCAATGCCCATCTCATCTTTGTGCGCGGAGGCAGACGCCATCAGAAAGGTGGACGGGCACTATGTACACGGCCCTATGCTTGCTAGAGGGAGCTGTACTGTCTCAGTAACCTGGTTTTGCCATCAAATGAGGAGGGGACAGGTGGTGACGAGCTGACTGGGCTGGTTGACCCTTCGGCGCGAGAATTTTCAGACCAAGAACCCTAAGTGCAACGAGGGAGAAAGCGAGGAACCGACTGGGAAGGACAGCAACGAGATCGTGTACGAAGCGGAGCGGGTCGAATTTGGTCGTGCTAGGACTGGCCACAGCGACACCGGAGAAGCGGCACCGGAGCAGCGGCACCGGAGCAGCAGCAGCGGAACCGGAGCATGCGGACGGCATCGAACCGTGTCGCACGGACAAACATCTCTTGTGTCGTCAATTATTTTTCGTTTTTTTTTCCTGAATATAGGTGTTAGGTGTGTGTAATGACGTCACTGGTTTTGTAGAGAGACGCGGCAGAGATGGCGCGGATAACCCGGGTGCCTTAATTGTGTACCTGCATCGTGGAAGACCTCTTCAATGTGGAACGATTCCTAGTCAGTGCCGATGTTTACACTGCTGTGTCTAACACAGATGATCTGGATAGATTCGGGCGATTGTCAATTGCAATGATGGCTTTGGTTGGTTGTTCTTCTTCATTGTATGTCCACGGGACCATTCTGACAGCACTTCAGACAGCAGCTGCATGCCCCGAGCTTGATGTGCACCATACACCATGGTGTTATTTTGTACAGACAGCACTTCAGACAGCAGTACGCTGTAGTCGACAAACATTCATTTTGGTGAAGTGCGGGACAAGGGGGGTGATGCCGCCTGTTGTAGTCGAATTGTAGTGTGTGGGCGTGTAGTTCAGTTGTGAGCACGCAAACGTGCTGCAGGGATTGATTGTAGGTGTACCTCCTCGGGCTTGCGTACCCTTTTCTTGCTAATAGTGTGCGCGTGTTCTTTAGATCTTCTGATGGCTTTAGCATTTTTGTGACCACGGGCCGAGTCTTTGCTAGATTTTGGGATTAGCAACTGACACGAGTTTAATGTGAAGAAAAACAACAACAACAACAAATACACTCTGCTGGGTGTTGGCGTGCTGCGCTTTGCGTTGCGCTCTCTGCTGTTGCTTGTCGGGGTTACGGCTGTACACATGCATGTGCGGCTCTACCACACGCATAGTTTGCGAAGGGTGGAACTCAGAAAGTGCCAGCACGTCGGCATTCTTGCCTACCAGACCGAGGATCAAGTGTTTTCATGAGACGAACCACCCAGTGTCTCTCGATGTCATTTTTTTTTTTTTTGTCTTCACTTCACATCAGCGCTCACAGCACTAGTGCCGTTTACTCCAACCCGTGGTCACACAGAAGGGCCCCTCTCTACCGTCCTCTCCTGCGGTACGTTGCCTTCGATTTTTAATGCGAGAAGAGTTCAGTACTCTCTTCCCTCTGTGTACACACGAACTAGCGCTATCCACTAGGCCAGGAGCGGAAGCGAGAGAAACACCCACTTTGCAAGAAAAGCTCATTTACGCCGGGCTTACGCCGGGATTCGAACCCCTGACCTGACATCTAGAAGGTTTCGAGGATACCAACTAGACCACCGGGGCGACCAGCTCATACATAGGGGAAAAGGCAACCGCACGATGCAGCCCCTAATTTGTAGGTTTGAACCACGCAGCACGCCGGTTTTATGTATATGGCCAAGGAGTGGAACGCGATACATGCGCTAAATGAGCGCGTGAGGCCACTGCACGGAATAGCAGAGGAAACAGTGCCGTTAGCTACTGTTGGTGTGGTCCGGCGACCTGTCAAGGCGATGACACAACATCAGTGGTACATTTTCGTCGTCGGTCCAGTGTATCGCAAGGACGTACGTCAGGCAGCGCAATTCCAAGCCACATCTTGCCCGCCAAGGCGACAAGGTACAGCAGCATGGTGGCTCTACCCGACGCTCAGCGTCGCCACCACCGGCCAGGCTTGACCCACAACCCCGCACACCCCATTTTTTTCCGCTGCTACACATGCGTACGTATGGCAATGCTACATATTAACTGCAGGTGACGAAGAGCTAGTGAGCGCGGCAACGGGCCAGCCCATCTGGCCTTCCTTGGCTCAAGACCAGCCATCGCCCATACAGGCACCGCGGTATGTACGCAGGAGACAACAGGGTTACCGACTTAGCTCATCAGAATAACTGCAGAAGGGGATATTTCTCTCTCTCTCTCTCTCTCTCTCTCTCTCTCTCTCTCTCTCTCTCTCTCTCTCTCTCGCTCTCTCTCTGTTTTTTTTCTGTCCGGTCGACCGCAAGGGTTCCACGCGTGCGCTGCCGGGCAGCTACTGTAGGGGCACATCACGGCGCGACGCTTGCTCGTACCCGACCAAGAATACTTGTCACCCCTGGACATGCATGTGTCTCTTAATGTCATGCATGCGTCTCTTAGTGTCAGATTTGCCGGCGCCGGTTTGCTCGAAAACGTGTGATGATGCCAGCAATGGTTTGCCGTGTAGGGGGCTGTGGGCAACCGAGCCGCCTTCCGGCGCCGAGCTTGTTTTCACTTGTTGCCTCGTGTGGTTCACACACCCCTTGCGCCGTTGCGTTTTTTCGTCTCCGTCAGCGACACTCGCTCGCCGCGAGCGGACGGGTACGACCGAGAGGCGGACCTGCTGGAGAGTGCCCACGCCAGCGACGACTCCTCGGAAGGAGGAGGTGGGGGGGGAGGGGCCCGGGGGGCGGGGGCTGATTTTCCGCTGGCAGCGATCGCCACCCGCGCTGTCGAGGAGGCGAGAGTGGAGACGGACAGCTGCGGCTACGAAGGCGACGTCGGGGAGGGTGCGAGGAGGATGACGACACCCTCCTTTCGGAGGGCGACGGGGATCGCTCCCCCGGGCTTCCCGTCCAACAAGGTACGTTGCGGGCTTGCCAGCCCTTCTCTTTTCTGAGCGAATCGAACCCGGGGGTGGATGCAATCTGTGCCTGCCAACAAGCTAAGAGGAGAGTTCTACGGCAAGGCCCTTATGCGTAGCGGTGCCAGAAGTTTTCAATCCAAGCCTTGGGCCGACGGCCATCGCGAGGCAAACATTTATCAATCAACCCCCGGCGATGACACCTTGAGTCTTGCCTACGCTGGAGATATGCCGTGGTACAAGGGTCCATGCCGTTTGTGGAGCCTTTCCACGCCTCCCCTTTCGCCAAAAAGCACGCCCGTAGGAGCATTATTTGGATGAATCGTCGCAATCCTACTCTAGTGTCAAATACGACTTCAAACATTGGTTGAATTGGTAGGACGGAGCAGAAGCGGATGACGAGGCGTCAGGAAAGGAAGCCACCAAGTCCCACGTGCCCCAGCAGCCGGCGAGCCTAGACATGTCGGCAAGGGGGATGATTTCGCACTACGGCGGCGGTCGCCTGAATCCGCCCCAGACCAACGAGGGGAGCCCGTGGGACGCCCTCAACGAGAGCCTTCGAGAGCAGGGGTTCCGTGAGGTGTCGCTGTCGCGACCGGGGGGGTCGATCGCGGTGCCGGACCCGACGAGCCTGGCGGACACCCTGCGGGACGTGGTGTTCAAGCACGGGGAGAGGGGAAGGGCCATCCAGGAGATGTCGCTGGAGCTCCAGCGGCGCGACAACGTGGGCGGACACCGAGAGTCCGTGCTGAACGAGTCCTTCCGCCGCGAGAGGTCCGACCTGTCGAAGCGGTCCGCGGGGGCGGAGGCGCGGGCGGCCGCGCTGGAGGCGGAGAACAAGCGCCTGCAGGACCAGCTGGCCCTGGACTCCCGGCGGGCCAGGGCCGAGAGCGCCAACCTGGCCTCCCAGCTGAAGCAGAGCGAGCACCGGGTGAAGGCGAAGGAAGCCGCGGCGCAGAGGTTGATGGACAAGCTCCAGGAAGAGGCGGAGAAGGAGCGGCTGTCCCAGCAGCGAGAGCGCGCGATTCTCACCAAGTTCAGGCAGAAGGAGGCCGCCGCTGTTGTTGCCGTCCGTGGAAGCGGCGGCGGCGGGGCCAACGACTCCAGAGTGGCGGAGTCCCTGATCGCGCACTCGAAGGCCCAGGAGCGGTCGGAGGCGGAGATGGACAAGCTTCGGGCGGAGATCTCCCGCCTCGGGGACGAGCTCCGAGAGAAGGAGAACACGATTCTCAAGCATCGGCTGGGCCCCGACTGGACCCCGGACCTCGACCCGAAGGTCGCGCCCGCCTCCTCAGACGAGCTCCGCGAGCTGCGAGATCGGCTCGTTGAGTCGGAGAGGAGCGTGAGGGTGATGAAACAGCGGGAGACCAGAGCGTTGGAGCGGTGCGCGAGCATGGAGAAGGAGTGCGCCGAGGTCCAAGCCAAGGCCGACGAGACTCAGGTGCAAGAAAAAAAAAAATGGCTGTTAAATAGGGCAATTTTTCCTGCGGTCAGCGTTTTTTTTCTTGTTTGCGAGGCATGCACTTGTGTGTCGTGTGGTAGTAGTCGCCCCCGTTGACACCACAGCGCCGTGCGACAAACGACACCGTGTGCTTCCGTAACGGTTGGATGGCGGTGACATGCGGACGAACCGGGGGTATGATTGATGTAGTCCGAGGAGGTGTAATCTTGTAAACGCACCCCGTAGTCAGTAGACCATAGACCTCGCACCCCTACAGTTCCGGGACGGAGCGGTATGCCGAGTTTTGGCCGGCCCAGGCTGTACGTTTCAAAAATAATGAACCAGAGGCTGGTCATCTCCTTGCGTTTGCTGGTCTGGCGGGGTAGGCTAGTGCTCTTCACTCTCCGCTTGCACTAGCAATTCGGCCGTTGGTTACCCATCCGTTTGGACACAAAAGTGTTTCTTTATCTAGAGACAAAAAACCCACACCTGCTGTTGCCACCGCCGGTCTATCGCCAAGGGTTGTAACCTTCGCTCTTTTTCGAAATACGTTCGTCCACGTCGCGCGCCCCTGTGTATGCATCCCTTCATCTTGTCCTCGATGGTCTACGCTTTCCTTCTTCGTATCGCTCACACTTGTCTCACACCGCCCCCCCCCAACCCCGCTCGACCGCGCCCTGCCGTACGTCTCTCTCTTATCTCCTTGGTGAATCTCTTCCAGGACGCTCTTGTGAACGCGCGGCTAGAGCTTTCCTCGCGGCCGTCGCTGCGAAACTGGCGCGCCAGCCAAAGACGGATACAGGACCTCGAGACTAGGCTCGGCCAGGCAACTAGCCAGGTATGTCTGGGTGCATGGGGTCAACATTTATAGTAGAACCGGCTTCAACACCTCGTGCACGATTGATTGTGCATGGTCTCGGCTGTGGCCAAACGGTTGGATGCACGCTTGTTCCATCATTTTTCTTTTAGCCCTGTTTGTCCTGCATTCGGCTTAATTCATTTTCGCGATAAACCGCTGTCGTCGACGATACGCGAAAGAAGTATATACTCCCGCAACAGCTTGTTTGTTTCGCGAATATACTGCTGTCGAGGGTAGGCGAAAGAGGCCATGGACGTGGCGGAGCTGCGGCGGTGGGTGGACACCAGAGAGCTGATGCGAAGGGACCGGGGAAACCACCGGCTCAAGCTGGACAGGCTGGAGGAGCTGCCGACCGCGGTCCTGAAGCAGGTCGTTCAGGACGCCTGTCGCCTCCTCTCGCTGCAGGACGTCTCGCTGCTTGGCTCGTCCGTGTCCAAGCTCATCAAAGCGGTGCAAATGCTTCCTCGTCTGGAGCGCTTCGTCAACAGGTGATTTTTGCGGGACACGACGAACAGCAACAACCAAAGAGTCCGTACAGCAGAAGGATGAGAAAGGAGATGAAACGCCCGTTCGTTTTTTTTTACTGCGTTGCTGCGGGGGGGGGGGGTGCGCGCGCGAACGGCCACTTTGCCGTGACGTCGTACTAGTGCCCACCTTCCTGCCGACGGCCGACCGAACCGTGTACCGTTGTCCACCCGTAGTGGTACCCAGTAACACCCATACTCTGTATTTTTCTTGCCCCGGAATGTCCCACATCAGTGTCTGTGGGTTCGTGTTTCGACACTCGACGGAGGTGCTGTCCGCGCCCAGCGACGGGATGCTGTCCCAGTCTCTGGCCGGAAAGGCGCGGACGATGGAGGACGTGTTGCCGCTCCTGGAGCTGTGGCTGGCGCGTGCCCAGGAGCCCGTGAAGCTTAAGGTATGGCGTCGTCGGCGTTGCCCAATTGATGTTTTTCCTTCCCCCGTTTCGTTTCTCGCGTGAACATGGGGCAACCCCAACACAGAACTTAGTAATGAGCTGGAGAAGAAGCCGTAGCAGCAGCAGCCTACACTCACCTCTTTTGGTGGAGTTGCCTGGAGGCATCGCATTATTCGGGACATGCTAACGATTGCTGTCCTTCCTGTCTCTCGTCCGTCGTTTCCCCTTTTTCTATTTTTGTTTTTTTATTGCAGGAGTTTCACCGCGGCGTGTTAAGAGTCCTGGAAACTCGGGCTGGCGAATCTCAGGTAAGACGTGACAAACGTTAATGTTTCGCTCCATGATTGCATTGTAGTCTGTAGAATGGCAGACAACATCTGGAAACTCGGGCTGGCGAATCTCAGCCAAGACGTGACAAATGTTTAATGTTTCGCTCCATGACATTGTAGCCTGTAGAATGGCAGATAACATCTGACGTTAGACGTCTTATTGAGCGGCTTTCCAAGGACACCTAGAAGAAGACACTACCCAGCCCATCCAAGGCTCCTGTCGTCCCCTGCCATTCGATTCTTTCGTGTGTCCTGGTTTTGCCAGGGGGCTCATGGCTCGGTCTTCAAGAGCGATCGGGCTGCGACGTCCGCTGTCCAACACTTGGTAGACTTGGAGCGTAGATCTCTCCAAGAGATGCACCTCAACGAACGAGCTGACAGGAGTATGAAGGTGAGAGGGATCAGATAGGATAGGACAGGCCTTGGCCATTAATGAAAAAGAAAATGTCAGGCCGCCCTGCTCTTACTTGTTTTACCAGAGCGTTTTGCGAGCTCGTGAACTCCTATCCGATGTTGCCCGCACAACGCCCCCTTGACCGGACACACACACAAAACTTGTTCTTCTTTCATCGCAATTTTACAAGCCGTCGCTGGTGGGTTTTACCCACCCTCCGGCCTTGCCTCTCCAGCTGAAGAGGTCCGATCCACAACATTTTTACAAGGGTGCCTCGTGTTGTTTTTTATTTTTCAGATTACAAAACAACGTTTTTCATCTCTTCCGTGCTTGTGTTTTTTTTTTTCTTGCTGCTACTTTTTCGCCGCCTGCGTTACGCGTCCACAGGACGACCCGTCGCCCGTCAACCGCGTCGTGCAGCACTTCCAGCTCCTGTTCGGTGTCAGCTCCCTGGGGGGTTGCCTGCCCAAGCTAAACGAGCTGTACCGGTTCTCGAGCGAGACGAAGACTTTCCTCCGGACGTGCGGCGATCTGCTCAACATGCCGGAGGCCAGCGGCTCCGAGGCCATCATGCGGCGGCTCGAGACCGTCCTGGAGGGGACGGTTGACGCCGATGCTGACGCAAGGCTCCGCGTTTCTCACGACGCCGAGTCGTGGGCCGGACAGTCGATAGAGCTCGCGGCGGAGGCGTAGGCAGTTGTCGAACAACTTTTGCCGCCGCATAAAATGTTTTTTGTGCTGTATGCGAAGAGCTTCGTCCACTATTTAGTTTCGGGATAGCACGTGGGTTGGTCTGGCGTTGTCGGACGGCAGGGAGGGGAACTCTTTCTTGTTTGTTCCGTCCCATCTTTTCTGTCGCGCTGTGGGGGTGGCATAAGTGAAACCGTACATGTGGTACTAGGGAGGCCGTTGGAACATGTGTGGACGATGTAATAGAGTACGACAAAGTAACACACCATGTATAATGGGTAATAATTGGCGCTTCCAGCAGCAAAAGCTGAAATCGCGACACAAAACAAACGTGACCTTGAAACCAATATGTAGATGTATCATCACTTCGCTTGTTTTCGAGCTTCGAGGCATCTTTCACGGGCGGAAGCGAGTCTTTTCTCTCGCTTCCCTCTCAGGGGCACGCGGAGGTGTCGTGGGTACATTTCGACGCACGCCCGAGGACTGCCGGCCACCCGTGGCGCTTGTGCTTGACGCCCAAAGTTGAAAAAAACTGGCTCTTGACCCCGGGGACGTGTTCCGCGCGAAGAAAGCCTTCGCAAGAAGTACAAAAAGAACTGCTTTGCGTAAAACAGGAAGACTTTTGTTTGATTCCTGCGCAACGCACACAAGTCACACAGACCCATGGGCAACACGAATACGCAAGGGTGAGAGATCAAACGCAGCGGACTGCAGCAGTAGGACGTGCTGCAAAGACGTCACTAGCCTAAAAAAGACACAGTCACGCACACGCGAAAAGTCACCACGGCGAGAAAAAAACACTACCCCTCACATGATGCAAAATTCTAGGCAAATTCTGCAGGTTGTACCCAAACCTGGCACTCACTACCGAACGTCATGACGTTGAGGTGCAACGATGCGACCGCGATTACATTGACCATGTCCTCTTGCGTCGCCCCCGGGAGGCAAGCCACCTAATTCCCGAAGGGGGGCCTTGAACCTAAGTGATTTAGACGCATCCCTTAATATAACGACCTTGACCCTTCATTCATCGGAAAATCCAACACAACTATTGAGAGTGATCGCGAAAATGCTGGTGTTAGTTGGCCTGTCACAAAACCAACCCGCCTTCGCACCACTATCACTCCCCCAACTCAGAGGATCACGGAAAACCTAGCCTCCTAAATCATTCCACATAACAGGCATATAGAGTATTAAACAGGGTCCATGACGACCTAGATGGCGCAAGACGCAACAGCACAACTAAATAACTAAATAACTCTGTGGATACCAAGAGAACTCGATCGGTATTTAAAGGATACAATCTCCCGTATCTAGGAATACCGCCAACACTGACGAAACCATTCGAAAAACAAGACAACAACCCCCCCCAACTACATACACTCGACAAAACAAAGCGCTGCGACTAGTGGAAGAAGTTGCGTATCCGTCGCCACTTCCGGAGGAACCAGTCGCAGAAGCGCGACCACCCGGTCGAGAGGGCCGGGGGGTCCGCCCAGTACAGCCCGCGCTTGAAGTTGGGCTGCGCCTTGGCCTTGGTCTTGATGAGGGCCGAGTACGTGGAGAAGTAGTTGAGCATCAGCAGGGTCCCCCTGGAGCAGACGGCCACGTCAATGGCCGGCAGCGCCGCCTCGACCTCCTCGGGCGTGACCGCCTTCCCGCCGGCCGTGGCCGCGGAAGATTCCGCGGGGCCCTCGGAACCCCCCCCACCCGCCGCCCCCGCCGCCGCCGCCGCCCCTTCTTCTCCACCACCTCTCGCCGCCGCCGCCGCCCGGGAGACATCTTCTAGGGTGAACACGGGCACCGCGTTCCCGACCTTGACGTCCTCGAGAAAACGCGCGTCGTCGCTGGTGGCGAACACGAACTGCGGCGAGACGTCGAGCTTGGCGGGCGCCCGCCGGAGCAAGACGTCGACCGTGTCGCGAAAGTTGTGCTCCTCGACCCAGCATACGCCTCCGCCATCCAGGGCCTCCTTCACCCAGTCCCGGGCGCTGCGTTTATCGGGGATTGGAGGGGGGGCGGGGGGGGGGAGTTCAGGTGGTTGTCACTACATACCGTCAGTTGGCAAATTCGGCCGCATTCGTGGCTTATCAGAAGCAATTTAATCAGGAGTCAAAGGAGCCAAATGTCTTTCCTCAAAGGTAAATTGGAATGCGTGCTGGGTGCGCTCTCGCTTGCCTTCAAACTCTCAACGCACTGCCCGGAGAAACGACAGCATCGTGGGGCGGAACACACCCTTACCTCTTGCCATTTTGAGAGTATCAAATGTGAAGACTTGATGCTCCGTGTGCCGTTCACTCTCTTTCTCTCTGCTCTGGGCGAGGACATATACGCTGGGTTTGATAAATCCTTCAACCACTCTACTGTTTGAACGTCGTCCGTGTGAATAACCGAGAGTCCACGGGACAAGCCGGGGCAAAGGCAACTCGTGTATGAGGCGTACCGCCCCCCGCCCCCCGACATGCGACGACGCCTGCACGCACACCTTGTCAACGTCGACGGAACATTAACATTGGCATGACCGTTTAACCGTCCGCTGCTGCCGGCAACGCCTCCCCACCCACCTGCCTCGCTTCGCGTTTGGTCAGCGCGCCTACCGAACGCTAGGCGTAGGAACAGCTCCCCAAGCCGAACAAAAACCACGAGCGAAACCAACCCGCTACTACAAAACCGCACCGCACCCCCGCCGCCGACGAACGCCTTCTTACCTCCCGGTTCGATACTCCTCCTCGTAACAGGAGCACGACTCCTTGAAGTCTTGTCGCCTCACGTGAGCGCACATGAACTCGGCCGCGGCCGGGTTGCGGCCGCCAGCGTCCGAAAGCTCCTCGTCCCCGCCCTCCCCCCCCGGGTCCGCCTGCTCCGCCGCCGCCGCCGCTTCCGTCGCCTTTTCTCGGAAGCGCTCGAGGCTGCCGTCCACGAACTCGTGCACCCAGGACGCCTCCTCCGAGACGTGAAGCTTCACCATGGCGTGCCAGTGGGTGTCCCCAACCGTCGAGTCCGGGGTCCAGCCCTAGTTTTAAAAGGTTTCCACGAGTGCCATGAGTTTACAGGTGTCACTAAAGGCGCGCGCGGCTCCGGAGTGGGGCTCGCTCATCAGAGCTTAGTACTATAATATTAATAGCGCCCATGAAGGCGTGAAGCAACAAGAAAGTGAAGCATGTCTGTGATGGTGTGAATCAGCTGCCACCAGTGACGTTTCTCAAGCTCGAACAGCTCCCCAAGCTCGAACAGCCCACACCGCCGACGTGTCTTTGACTCGAACAGCCCGGCGAACCTCAACGAGTCAAAAGAAAAGAAAATTTTCAAATCTGCAGACAGTCTTTACTGCCGACCGGAGCGCACGGTCGGCAAAGGGACGGCCTAGAGACGGGTTTTGGAGAAACACGGTACACATCGAACCAGCACGTTTTATTTTTGCTTTTAACACGTGGCCCAATCGTGAGGCTGCTCCTGCTATTTGCCGACCTCTCTGTCCCGTATATCTGTCTGTCTGACTGTGGTTCTCTCGGTCTCCACAATACCTCTGTCCTTGTCGCCAACAAGCGCGAGAGAAAGGACCCCCCCATCAAACAGCAAGCCCCCAGCACCGCCGTAGCACGCAAGGTACAGTACATGGACACAAGACGTGATTGAAGGAAGCGTACCACTGCTACTATCCGGGACTATTCTTCAGACAGTTCTCCCATGACCCGGAACAAGTGGATCGAAGCGTGACCCCCAACAACCTAGCCAACCGAACGAACCGCATGTCTTGCATTTCGTTTGTCTGGGGCCCAGATCACATGTTGCGATCGAAGGCGGAGGAAGAGCAACGAGTGTACAGTAGCATGGCGTAGCGTGCCCCCCAAAAGCATACTACACGACCTGGTTACCCATGGGGTACCGCCTGATTCTGATCTGCACAGAGGGACCCACCCAGGCCGTTCTGCGCCATTCTACATGACAGATAGCTTAGAGCTGTCAAGAACATTCAGTCGCTGCGAGGACACACATGCACACGGGACACCATCTCAACAGCAACGGCCCCCTCTGAAGGCGAGGATACATACACGCACGAGACTCCACTCTCAACAGCAACGGCCACCGCTGGAGTCGCACTGCCGCAGCTGCAGGAGCCCTGCGCCCCAGTAGTTTACTCTTATTTACAAGCTATCGCGGCGGCCCCGTGCCTGGATGGTCGTGGCACACCTTTCTTCACCCGGCTCACATAGGCTTTCAAAAGCGAAGGTGGTCTCGGGGGGCATCCATTCATCCACCCACCCCGCGGCAAACAAAAACGGGGACAGAGAGCGGCGACAAAACACCCGGCGCCGTGTGTCTTTTGGGCGGCACAAACAGCAGTAGCAGCAGTGCCTTGTTTAAATTTTCAACTCACCTGGAACATGCCGAACATTGCGGAGACGGCCAGAACCTGATCTTCCATTTGTTGCAGTTCGGACCATCCGGCTTCCGTAGCGTTCGCCAACGGGAGCGGGACCTGCCGGGGGGGGGGGGGGACGACGGAAATCTTCCGGGTTAAAGTCCTCTATACAAAACAAAGGGCTCAAGCAAGGACGACCCCCCGTCTTAACAAAACAACTGAAGTAGGAAAAAAAAACCCTAACAGGGAGGCATCCAGAAAACACCCGTCCAGCAAAAATTAAAATAAACAAAAAAAAACGAGGGATAAGCCCCCTAGTGGCAACATGGAAAACCACAAATACAAAAAAAAAGGGTTTGCCCCGGCGGCGTATTTTGAGGGCCAACCCCCCCCGCTCCCCCCCCTGTTCCCGGTTCCCCTTTTTGGGTCACCACAACTAAATAAATTTACCTCCCCCCTCACCCCCACTCTGGGGGGGAGCCCGCGAGGAAAAAACGCGAATGTGCCCACCTCCCTTTTGGTTCCCTCCAAGCCTTTTTTTCCTCCCCCCCAATCTAACT